GGGCGCTTACGTATTTGTGAATAAGGTCTCGATCCACTAACAATGTGGATAATAAAGGTGTTTGGGTTATTGTAAGCGAATGGGCATCTTTTTAATCTTTTTTATAGGGCAAACAGGACACACTTTTTCGGGCCAATGTTTGCCCATGTCCCTGTCACTTGCTAACTGTTGTCGTATTATGAATCATCTTAAGTAAGGGTGAGCGGTTTCAGGTTCTTTACAGATTCCTTACAGGTTCTAGTGGAACCTAGAACCTACCATCGGGTACAGGTTCCTCATTTTTTGGAACCTAGAACTTATTTGTCGGAACTTGGAACCTGGAATCTACCCTGTCACAGGTTCTAGGGTAGATTCTAGGGTCTAACAAATTCTTTTTTATTTTATTTCATTATGAAAATGAACGCAATAATACTAAACAAGCTTGTCATTCACTAAAGAGAATACAAAAGACTAGTTTTACTAGCATTATGGTTCAAATAAATGCAATTAAAATGAGAAATCATTGCGTTAATCGATATTAGGGGTAAGCGGTTCCATGTTCCATATAGATTCCACATAGAACATACCCATGATAATAGGTTCATCATTTTTTAGAACCTGAAACCTATCGTATCACAAGTTCGAGGGTCAGTTCCAAGATCTACCTAGGTTTCACCTATATTATTAATTGAACAATTGCAGTGAATCATCACTTTTAATGAACACCGCTTGCTACTATAATCTACTGACCACAACTTATATTTAGACACACGAAGAATATGAAACATTAGCAAGTCATAAAATGAAAGCTCAGACTAGTAGTTCCAGATTATATACTCATCATTTAACACCATGAAACACAACAGAATCACACAAAGACATAGATCAAGAAAAAACACAAAAAAAACTCTTTTAGGTTTCAGATTTCAAGTTCTAAGTACTTACTCGTCGAAACAGGTTCTCTAATTTTTGGAACCTGGAACTTACTCTGCGTATCTTAGAACCTGAAACTTACAGATTCCCACCGGTCAGTTTCTCAAGTTTCAAGTTTTACCTGGAACCATGCTCTCCCTAGTCTTAAAGAGCAATCAAGCACTGTTCACAATCGCCACTGCTACGACTAATGAATTCTGTGTTTTCATAATTCGTGGGGTTTCTTGATTACTGTGCTCGAGTTAGGGTTGAGCAGATGGTTGAAGAGCTGGTGAAAATAAGGGCAAAGCCAATAAAGAAATGATAACAAAACGAGAGGCTGAGGGAAGTTCATCTTCCTAGTCACCCAAACAACGGAAAGGGATTCTAGTGGTAGAATCTTCTTAAGAATTGAACTTTGGTACCTAATCCAATTAGCAAAGCCTGACCTAAACTCATGTATTAACAGTTTACACGACTCCTGCAGCAAGCTAATCCACATATAATCAAATATCTTTTCTATTTTTCTGTTAAGACAGTGCTCTTATAAAATAATGAAACGTGCTGAAATGTAGGGGCCATTTCCTCTGGTAATGAAGGACTGGGCTCACAGACAGCGTTTTTCGTTCAAATGAACAATAGCAGGGGAAAAAAAGCAGAGTGTGGATGGCAAGTCTTTACCAGGACAAAAGCAAATGCACTTTCTGTTCTAGGCAGACAGATAATTTAGAGGGAAAAGAAGAAAGAGTTTTTATCAGATTCGGGAGGGACATTTCACGCTTTCGCTTTCTATCTTTTCCCTGATGATACGACACTCCTTGAAAAATGATACAGCTACCTCTCCTATGATGCGATATGCTGCAACATGCATCGATGACCCCAGACATCGTTCGACCGCTCGCACCTATCTATGTTCGACTAGCTTGTCGTTTGATTCACCAATTCTTTTGCTTTTTTGTTTCCCTTCCGCACCTTTCGGTGCTCGAGATATTATCTGAGATATCTTTTCCATCAAATCACAGATCCAAATGCTTGAGTGCGAGGGCAAAAGGAAGATCCCACGGGTACTAGGAGATGATTGGAAATGTTTAACTAACCAAAGCTTGAGGTTTTTCTTAAGCATAGATGACTGAAGAGAATGTCCCGGTGAAACATCCTAGAAATTTTTCATTAGCTCCATGATAATTTACTACTCTTCGCAGATCAATTGCTATCCAATCTACCATGAACTTACTGACACAGGTTCGAGGAGATCTAATTTATCTATTGATCACAGCTAACAAAAAGATGTCACCTGGCATATGCTTCACATATCAGCACAAATTGAAGATTATCGAAAAGGAAACAATACACAGATCTCATCTCTAATGTTGATAATCAAAAGACTGGCAATCATTTAGTAAATTGAGCTAGGGCCAAAGAGAACTTCACGAATTCTGCAGTTATAGATTAGATTCCAAGCATCATCCAGATGTGCCGCAAGGTAGTTTTGGGGGAAGAAAGAGTATCTATAGCAAAACAAGGTAGTTGTATTCTGCGGACTTCACAATAGCATGCTGAAGTTAGCCAAAATGAGAGTTACTCTTATTAGCTTCTCAAAAGGTTATGCCAAAAATTAAAATCATGCTCACATCGTGTTCTCTACTAGAAATTGGGTAAATTGCATGGTTATCACTCTCAGCTCTGGGGTTACATTAATCGGGTCACTGGACTCTCGAAACTTCCAGCCAAGAAAAGAACTCCAAAACCTTCAGCCAGATCACTAACCTCGGGGAGTACTTTTAATCAGCTTGCTCCGTCAGCCATCCATTAAAACAATCATCCATGTGCCCATGCAACATGCATTGAGTGACTGGATTGAAAGTATTCCATAAGTATAATAATACCTGGTTGATAGCCTGAAAGTTCAATAACTTAATTGAAAGTAGCTTCGAATTTGAACAAGATTAGGACACCGCCCACCCCACCCTCCACCCCCCCCCCCCCCCCCCCAAAAAAAAAAAGAAGAGATTTTTAGACTATCGAATCAAGCAAATCTGCCGAATAATTATATATCTAGTCCAAACTGAACCTCGTTTTGCACAAGTACTTGCGGGAGCCAGCATATGCAGGGTTTTGGTGCAAGTTGGTGCGAAGTTAGAAGGTAAGAAGAGGTGACCGAGAGTGCCAGAGAATAGAAACACCAGCAAACGGGGAAACATTAGAAAGACACTCCTGCAATACCCCATCCCCAGTCCCCCATCAACCTTCAAACCTGAAATGATTGTGATAATAATTCAAATGTTTCCACTTTCTTAAAAGTTATTGCCCTGAATCAGGAGTTACTTTGCAGGTGTGACAGCCACTCCCAGGAGTCACACAACCTCAGTAATGGTTTCTAGACAGAGTGAGTGCTTTGTTTGATTGCCTCAGTGGACACGATGAGGCCATAGGCACTTCATTCCATCACTGAAAATGACAACTTTGTTCCTTTCTACTTTCACACGTCCTCTGTTTTTTCCTTATGATGTAACATAATTTCCTTTGTGCAAACCTACAGAAATGAAAATGTAGGAGAATTAAATAACTGGTCATGGATCTGCCAATTTTTTTTTTTTTGGTGGCAAGATCTGCCAATTGTAATATCTCGACTTGGGCAACATACCAGATACATCAAAGGAGCAATTATCCAGTAATGTCATCACTAATGATATTATCTCTGTTGATGACACTAAATGCACTGCTACTGAGACAACAAATAGACGATACAAATATCTGGAACAATATTGCTCAGATGACATCAAACCTTCAAAACAGTAGCAAGTGAAATCCAGAATTGCAGTAGTGAAAATCCGCTGTAAAAGGCATATAAACATTGGCAGTGTATAAACTTGATGATAAACCTCAACACAAATAATTGCATGACATAAAATTGGATTAAAGAAAAATGCCTTAAGTGTTCGATAAAGCTGCTCACTGTTTGTAATTTGTAATTTCCTAGATTTTTCTATTTGAGAGCAAAGAAAAAGTTTTGCAAGAACATAACCATGCTGCCGACCCTGGAAGCATTTTGCAGACCTTTAACTCTTCTTACTTATCGAAAAACACATAAAAGCTTAGTTTTGCACATCTTTGTCAAAATGCAATAACAACTCGGAGCAAATATTTACCAATATCCACCATCCAATAGTGCGCGACTTAGCTTTTCTGAAGTACCTTCAAGAAAGGTGAAAACTGCAGGAGAAAAATCTCAGACAGAAAGTCCAGTTTCTTTTGTCTTCTTATGTATAATAAGTAAAATACTCTTACTTACAATAAACAACTGAATCTAAATATCAGAAACCAAGTCTAAATGCTTAAAAATGGTCCAGTTTGTCACGAGTGCCAAACCACCAATGTAAAGGAAGATGGCCTTCCCTCTCTGATTAAGTTATGTGCCTGCAAAGGTTCCAAGCGCTCTTGCAGAAATAAAATCCTAATGACTTTGTTCAAACCTACTCGAAAAACATTAACAGATTTACAGTCTGTCGATAATAAGAATCTCTTCCTAACAGCATTAATTTTCTTGAGCAAATATATTTTTCCCTGACAGCATATTTTGGCCGAACCCTAACAGCATTTGAATAACCAACTCAGTTTGTAACTTAAAACATGTCTAGAATTCTTAACATTGGTTGATTCAACCATCTTTCATTGATAAAAAGCAGAACAGTTTGATCAAGAACTAAAACTAAAAGCTACCTTAATTATCTCATTATTTTTTAACGTAGCAACTGTTAACTCATAAACTAAAGAAAGTAATGACTAAAATAAAAACCTAGAGTACTTTCATATGGATAAATTCCTTTCTACCAGTTCATACAAGAGTCAGAAAGCCAGTCAACTTTTTGGTGCGTAAAATAATTGTTTCTTATAACTTGTACAAGAACTTCCATCTCTTGATAATATGCTCACCAGTCAAGCACATAAATTGTTGAGTTTCTCCAACACCTGCAAGAACAATTTATGGAACTATCCTCCCCCAAGGTATTCTAATGGCGGTTAAAAGTTAAAACCCCTTCCCGAGCCCTGACCAATATAAGTTCTCAGAAGACAAGCTTTCATCTTCATATCGCATCACAATCACAAAATTCAAATAGAAACCCATACGCAGTCTTTCATCACTCTTGAAAAACCAGTTGAAATGTACTAAATCGGTTCACAAAATGGTGTTTATGAACTGCTAAAGAACATATCAATTGTACATTGTACTTAGCAAGAACCACAGAGATATATAACCAGTCAACTGTAATACAACTTGGGCTATACATAGAGGCACCGTATCTGGATGAAACTTCGGAATACATGCAACTCTGCAAAAAATCACATCATTTTTTGGAAACAATCAACACTGAGCCAGTAAAAAGCTCAATGATAATCACCATTCAGATAATTCATCAACAACACTGTGTTTCCATGTAATTTGCACATCTCAAATTGGCGTATCACTGCAGTCCACCCCCATCCATACCTCCATCCCTCCTGGTTCTCCGCATTCCCAGCCTCAAGTCCTCTTTCGGCAACTCAAACCGGCAAACCGGGCAAGTGTTATGCATCCTCAACCACGGCAAGATGCAGTCTTGATGGTAGCGATGCACGCAAGGCAACACCTTCACCTTCTCCCCCTCAACGAACATGTCCTTGCAAACCGCACAAACCCCATCACCAGTTCCCAATCCCTCTTTGCCCACAGTAAACAGGGGCAGGTCCTCCACGACCCTCGCCGAGGCCGGCGAATCGCCTCTTCTGGCGATCTCGTTCCGCAGAATCTGCTGCGCCACTGCAGCGAAAATCTCATCGGTATCAACATAGTCACCTTCAATGACAAACACAGGATCCGAATCCAAATTAGGGTTTACGCCCGAACCTTCCGGGGGGAAACTGAACGAGAGCTCCCGATCGGGGTCTCGCGACGGCCCTTCCCGCTCCGGCGATGCCATCGCTTGCTCAATCCCACCCACTGCTCCTTCCATCGCCTCTTCCCAATCGGACTCCTCCCCCACATCGAGCTGCGAACCCGACGCGACCGAGTCCAGATACTCCGAGTCCCAGCCCGAGTCCGAGTCGATGCCGATGATTTCGGCTCCGCCGCACGTCAAGCCGGCGACTTGGGACGACGGCGACGGCGCGGAAGGCTCGGGGGGCCGCACGGGGCGGTCGTCGTGCTCGGCCTCGAGCCCTGGATGTCGCTCCTCGTCCGCACGGTCGGACATGATCTCGAGGACGTCGTCTGGATCGGAGCAACGAGGTGAATCGACGAGGTCGTCGAGGTCGAGGTCGAGGTCGGAGAGGACGTCGAAGGCTTGAATTTCCGATTCCGACGAAGACATAACCGCCGGCCGGGACGACGGCGACGGTGCGGCGGCGGTGGAAGCTTCGGCTTCTGCGGAGTGCGGCGGAGCAGAGACGGACGAGCTCGACCTGAAAGTCTGAGCTCGCCTTCACGCTGGGATAACACTGTTTGAGTTCACAGTCCCACGCGGGGAATACGAAGGAAAATAACACAAATTGTAGCCCACTACTTTTAATTAGTTCGATATCGTGCCTAAACTACTGATAAATGTTCAATTTACCCTCCCTATAGTATATCAAAGTGTTCGATGCCGTCCTTTTGCTAATTCAAGTTAACGGCATCTGCAGGCGTGGCTAAAAAAGTTACGCGTGAAAATCAGTATACGATAATCCATGTCATTAGATAATGATAGCGGTGTTAACGCCCTGATTTTTCTTTCCTTTTCTGCGGTAGATGTATAAAGAGATTGATATGTTGACTCATCATTCTAAAAACCCAACTCGGTATATAATGAATCACGTCATCAAATAAGGTCTGATTTGTCTTTTAAGTAAACAAAAGGACTACATTAAATATTTCCTAAAAGTTCAGATATTACATTGAACAAAACTAAAATTTGGAGATGACATTGTACATCGAACCAAAATTTATTGATCATTTATGTCATTTTCCTGGAATATTAATAGGAAATGGAACAGCCTTTGCGGGGCTTTGAAATTTTGTTACATGAAAACTTAAGTTTGGGTCAAGGTTCGTGTTTTGATAGACTTTTATTTTTCAACCTTAGTCTTGGAATGTGATCCTCTAAATTTTATTTTCTGCAATCAAATTCTCTAACTTTCTTTCGTTTGCTCAATCATAGTCTTTGGTCAACCATTTTCCCTAAACCATCAAATAAATTAATGGTGTGGTAATGCTGGTATAGTACAAAATGGCCGATGCTTATGTGATGCGGAATAAGCAATAAACGAACCGGAAAGAGAAGGAAAAAAAAACTCTAATTTGATCTTATTGGTTACAACGACTAAAGAAAGCGAACATAGCACAAAATCAGAAAATTTGAGGATTTGATTGAGCAAAATAAAATTTGGAAGATCAAATTGTACGAATTGAGAAGGGAAAAAGCCACCAAAAACTCTAAACTCTGCCCACTATGACACATTTACCCTGAAATTTTTTTTTTGTGACATCAAAATCTCCAAACTATGCTCATTGTGACACATTTACCCTAAACCTTGTCTTGTGACATAAAAAATCTCAAACTTGTATCTATGTGACACATTTACCCTCCATCAAAATTCCGTCAGATGATTTTTCAGTCAAAACAATATTATTTTTTATTTCACTTAAGCCACGTGAGCACCATGTCAACAACGGTCACCGACGGGAGGTAAATGTATCACACAAGTATAAATTTGAGATTTTTTGTGTCACAGAAAAAAGTTTAAGGTAAATATTTCGCAGTAGGCATAGTTTGGGATTTTTGGTGACTTTTGCCCGGTTGAGCAAGATAAAGACTGATTGCACAAAATAAAAAATTAGATGGCCAAATCGCATAAATGCTGAAATTTAGAGAACTAAAGTTGTACTTTGACCCTCAAAGGATTCAATGTAACATTAAAAATCAATGAATTAATACAGATAAAAGGCCAAAAACGTACAGGAATTTTCACTAGGGTGTATCTAGGGTGTAAATATCGGTATACTGTAGATTTATCTTTTGCAGTTGCGTATTCTTCCGCTGTTGTACATCTGATTCCGCCATCATCGAAAATCACTACTGCTTCTGTCCAAAATGCTTTGAAATCCTACTTTCAAGCAGCCTGGTTTATTGACCAAAACAAAAGGTAGCCTAGCTTAATTCATGTCCGGTAATGTCCTATTCTTCCTTTGAACCCTGTCGTTTCATTGATATACCATTTTATTGCGATGTATATAGACTCGGTATGATGCCCATCAAGATAAGATACAAAATTATGGTTTTCAAATTCTCCCCATAACGAGTTCTTTCTTTGAAAGTAGGAGTCCGGTAATGTTGTATTCTTCCTTTGAATCTTGCTCCTCGTTTCATCTATATACTATTTTGTTGTGGAGTATATGGACTCGATACCATGCCCATCATAATAAGAAACCAAATTATGATTTTCAAGTTCTCCAACATGATCAGTTCTATTGCAAGAGTTCTTTCTCAAGATCAAAATTATGGATTCGAGTTCTCCCCATGATCAGCTCTTATGCAAGAGCTCTTTCTCATTTCGAATCCTTTTTGCAAGCTTTTGTGAAAGCATGAAATGAGTCATTCTTATCGGTTATATAGAATAGTCATTCACAACACGAGGTCCATATTTCTTGCCACCGAGACTCTATATCCTTGGGGTGATTTTCCAATCAATCATAAACATTTGCACGAAATTTCAATATAGTCATTCCAACCAATTATTATTGGAAATTGCTAAAGTGGCGTCCGATCATTATTGGTCATCCTACGTGGCACACTGACTAAATAATTTGTGGAACGTCAGCGATTTCCGGCAGTAATTGGCTGGAAAGACTACATTGAAATTTTAGGCATGGGTTTATAATTGCATTGGCAAAAGTCCAGGACTGAAGTATCATTCATCCAACGTGTTAGGACTGAATTGGTAATCTCCCCAGTATCTAGGCCCATCAAACAGATGGGTCAAATCGAAAATGGTACGATCCAAATTGACTCATTTAATTCGTTTTGACATATTTACATGCAATGCAAATGGGGCAACAAGTACCCAACCCACAAGCCATTTTTAGCTATTTTTTTCCTTAATTGTTGACTTTGAAGAATAGATGGCTCCATTGACCGACTCGTCGAGTTAATGAGAGAATTCGCGGGTCGGGTTATGGATGGGGGCACGATGGAAGTGGTAAAAGTACGGCTAGGCTAGCCATAAATCATGAAACAAGTTCCGACTTCGGTTTTGTGTTAAATATAGATAGGTTACGGAACGTCTATAAATCATGAAATGGGTTTCAACTTTAAGTTGGATCCCAATCTATCGCATTCAAAATCAAGACATTAATTTTAGTAGTTTGTTCAGTGGGCTTATATCTTGTCACTAAAATTCAAAGTAAATCCAAACGAATTACCCGATGTGATAGTGAAGATAGTCTATCACCATATTCCTCAGTCATATAAGATTCTACAGAATTAGCAGGGAAGCAAAGTGCTCCAGATAAACATGAACTTCCTGCACTTCGAAAAGCCCAGACCCCTGAAATCCTGCACTTCGATCCTATCAGGCTATGATCTCATCGAAAGAAGAAATATTTTCAAAGAGACTGGGAAATGCCAGTACAGAACAACAGTCACACTTCAAATGACACCATGTCATGCAAATTCAGGCATGAACAGGAACTTATCAATAACTTTCAATTGAATAATTTTCAGCTCAAACCATGCTATTGAAAACTGGTACTGCGAAATGACAAGAAATAGTTTCACGCGCAATCACAAGTTGCAATGCTCAACAGACTCCGAGAATTCCAGAAGCGTAAACTCACGCATCTCCGATCAAAACCACCGTCGAATCGAAAGTGAATTAGAACTGAATTGCAATGTCGAAACAGAAGGATGGGCAGAGGGAAAAGATTTTGACCTAGAAGCGAGGACGAGAGGTCGGCGAGGGCGGCGTTGCAAGAGGAGCGGAGAGCATCGGAGTGGCAGAGACACTAAGCGAAGAAGGACAATGAGCCCCGTTTATTAAATGGGTTGGAAATGGATTCATAACATTACCACATTAAACTCATAGCCCATTATGATCAACCTGTCAAATTTGAGGTGACCGATATATGATCGATATCAACAAATTTGGATTAATAAATGGCTTGAGACCCATTTTGACAAGTCTACCTATATCCTTATAGGATCAAAAAAGTTTAGATGTAGTATCTACAAACGACAATTACTCATCATAAAATTCTTAGACTGAAACGAACCTTTTGCTTGCCTACTCAGTGAACACGAACCGCGACAACTTCCCTCGCCGAACTCGATTTTGTGAAGACCACCTAAGCAAGAACAGAGAGTTGCTTGAAGTTCGCATGTCCAAGCTTTCTTCTACGGACAAGTTTTTCCTCACGGGAATCCTTCCACAAGCAGCAAATTGTCAACAGTAAAATTGTTACCACGAATAGTACCACGACCAATGCTCTTTCTTGTTGGTTGCCATTCAAAATGAGGCTGTTCCTCCATCTTTTATTTTCCAGAATGGCGAATTTTTTAGCATCCCAAGTCGTGTATTCGTGTCAGAAGAAAAATATTCAATTAGCAGATCTCACAGTGTAAAAAAATTTGATACATCTTTCATACAAAAGGTTGACAAGGCAAAATACTATTCTCTACTTTTCAAAATATTCCAAATAATGCATAAATAGCAACAAAAATAATAGGATGCGGCATCTAGTGCAACGCACGTGTGTTTTAACTTTTTTTTTAGAAACGTCTAAAACTCAATTGACTAATGAAACGTTTAGGATTCAATTGACCAGTAATTAAAAAATTTAGGACTTTTTTTCTCTTGCCTTTTCTCTTCCTCCCGTTCCATGTTGGAGTACTTGTAGGAGGACGTATCATACACTTTAAAAGAAAGTACCTAGATTAAATCTCTGAACCAGGTATCCAAGAATACAATAAGATCTTTTGAGAATTGAGAGAACCTTGAACTCTCTTTTATGCGAAATGTGAGTATGATCGTAATTGGAACTTATCGTGCAATATATTCTCATACATAGTACTCAAAATACAAACATTTCATAACCTTTAAGTCAAGCATATTCTTTTATTCAACAATCTCCTTTTAGTTGTTGGTAAAAGTTCATTTTAGGTCCTCCAACCTATGCATTTTTCCATACGAGTCCGTGAACTTTTATTTTTGCCGGATCAAATCTTGAACTCGCGTACCGTTTTCTGATAAAGCTCCTCTCCTTCCAAATCGAGCTATTTCGAATTGACACGTTTGTTGAAACCGGGTACGAATCGAAAAGCTCGTCTAGTGCTCATGTCGAGAAATCTCATGGTTTCAAAGGTCCGATGGTTGTGATCTTGTCCCATGCATGAGCTGATAATCCACGCCGGCTAAAAGGTTCTCCACGTCAGACTTTTGTTTTATAAGACATCGTACTCTTGCCGAATTTGACGAACACTTCAGCTCTCATTAATTGGGATAGGAGTTAAGAAAAACTCGATTAGACAAATAAAAAGTTCAAAAATCTTCTCACAGAAAAACGGCGCAACTTCAGAGACCAAAACTCAGACTTGTAACCTTTGATTTTATTACCATCTGTACATCTGTACTCTTTATGTGAGTAACCTTTTTTCTTGGATCCCTCCCATGTATTGTTCTAATACTCACCTTTAGTCATACTATTCCTTTCTTCTTTCCTTCATCTACAATAAATTTCTCAAAGATCAACTTGATATCCGCCACTTCTCTCCCTTTACATATCTCAGCTCAAGCGTCATCTTTTCAACTAAGTCAACACAGAATTAGGAAGAGAAAGTACCTACCTAAATTTCCACGATGAGAAACAAATTACTTGAATAAACAATCACTATCTTCATTGAAAATTTCATGCGTATTAGTATATTCAACTGAAAAGTTCGGATACAGAAGATGGAAATACAGCACATCAAGAAGCTGAATAGGTGATCAAGAGTCGGTAAACATACTTTAAAGAGAAGATAAACAACTCACATAGCACGAGATTCGCCTAAAAGTTTCGAGGGGTACAAAATTTGATTGAGCTCAGTAGGGAACAACTCAAAGCAATAGTTTGGGCAAGTGCAAAATCATGGCTAGAGCGATCTTAACCTGTTGATTTACTTGCCCGAACAACTCCAGGCAACTGATCTTCCGACTTATATATAGACTGAGCACCTTGTATCAAGTTCAGCTTTGAGTACTAGTACTTCACCTATAGACCACATTCCGGACGTGATTCTTTAGCACCGGCACTTTCAGATGAATCGTACCAGAAACTCCTGCCATGAGATAGAAGGGCCGCGATACATAATCAAGATATTTATTGGTAGTCCTCGCCTTCACAGTATTCGGTCATATCTTAGAGAAGGGAAAAAATTGATCCAAAATCCAAAACTGATCAGGGTAACGTACTTGGAAGATGGTGGTTACTTGCATCAAAAAGCCAGCCTAAAAATGATACACTTGTAAGCGCTCTCCAGGGCGCAAAAAAGCTCTCTCAAGGAACGTTCTGCTGTAGGTACACATAAGCTGCTGATGCAATTAGCGCTATCAGCCCAGCAAAAAGAACATGCTTGTAGTTGAGCGATCCTGCATCTATCCTCCTCACAGTGTCAAGCTGAGATGTTACTTCACCAGGCTCTGCTTGTGTTCCGACTGCTGATGGATCTTTAGATTTGTCATCTACCTACATTAGATGAGGACGAATGTCACACAACAGTTATTCCTTGTGGAACATCCACATCAAGAATTCAGGACTGTAGAATACAATTATTCTATGTACATATTAATATCATCAGAAGACAGAGATTATGCTGTGTAGAGCAAAAAGACCTGTACCATGGATGAAATTGCTGAAGTGGTCGAGATACATGATAATAGTAGAAAGGAAAAGAGAACTACAGAAAATATGAGTTTTTCCATCCAAATATTTGAAGATGTAAGTTTATGCATGTAAAAGGACAATAAACTACCAAAGTTGAGGTGGCTAAGGATTCTTTTTCTATTTCTTTGCATTCTCTCATAGATGCAGCCACAGGAAACTCAAAAGCGGGATCTTCTTGTCCAACATCGTGATTTCTAGGTACAGTCGAACCCTTGCTCGTCTGCTGCAACTTCACCACTAAAATTTCGTTCTCGATTGCTAGCGACTTCAACTGCACAAAAAGAACGTATTTCATTTACTCATCATCAATTTTGACTAGGGACCAGATCATGCAAACTGATACAGGAGGAACTACAATGAAAAATTTAATCAGTTTCAGCTGCATGAGGAAGGACCATCTTGAACAGATGTATGCACATGACAAACAGATTTACCTGCTTATGGAGGCGTTCTCTCTCAATTGCCAGCTGCATGACAAGATTAGCAATAACTTTGGTCCGAATTCCAATGTTCTTGGCAGTTGCTAGTTTCGACTCTTCGGCATGATGCAAGGACCCCTCCAAGCCTTGCATTCTCCCCCTCAAGAAAATCAGTTCATCGTTTAGCTCAGCATTGGATTCAGATAATATGATGCACTTCTCCTCTGCACTATCAGCGCGACTTTCAGCTTTTGCAACTTTAAGTTTCAGATCCTCAATTATATCCTCCATATCTTTAATAGCAGAATACAACATGGCTTGCTTCTCCTCACTAGCATCGGCTGATGCAACGGCATGTTGTAGTAGAATATCCGACTCCTTCAACTGCCTCTCGAGTGCTTCAACCTTCTCGGCTGTCAAGCAACTGCTTTTTAGAAAAACTAACTCTTCATTAAGCTCCTTATTCGTAACTTCCAGTGATTTGTAATTGGTTTCTGCATTCTCAACTCTGCTTTCTGCTTCTGATAACTTTTCTTTAAGATCTTCAATAAGATTTTCCATTTCTGACATTCTACAGACTGCAACATTAGTTTCTTCCTGACTTCCTTCTTCGGACCCCTTAGCAGTTTCAGATTCTTCCACCTGCTTCTCAAGTGAACTCACCTTGTCCCAAAGAATTGAATTCTCGGAATTGGCAAGATTTAGTTTATCTTGAACTTCCTTCAAACAGGCTCTTAAGCCGTCCACCTGAGCCGAAAGACAGTCACTAAGTTCCTTTCTGCTGACTTCAATCTCCACCAAAGCATTTTCCTTCACTTTCAACTGTTCAGTGGTATCCTCCAACTTAGATCTTAGCTCGGCTTCTCGCTGAATCAAGCCATTTCTATTAAACTGGGTGACTTGGAGTCGCCCTAGTAGATCTCTTGAGATGCCCAGAAGAACCTCAGCAGAATTATCTGCCTCAAACAATCTCTCCCACGCATCAAATACTTCTTCTTCTAAACAAAAAGCTTCTTGCTCTGCAGACCGCAGCCTCAGTTTCATGTCTTCATCGGTTTGCTTTGTCTCGGTTAACTTCTTCTCAAGATCTAATTCTCTAGCCAAAGATTTCTCCAGCATCCTCAAGAAATGCTTATGCTGTTCAGCTGTTTGAATTTTGGTTTTTGTCTTGACATTCAACGACCCACCATTTGCCAAGAAGCCCGCACCCATCTCCCTTTCCCCTGTCAAATAGAATCACAGATCATTCATGACTCGCTTTTTTACGCATGTAACGACATTCATCTTCACATGCAGCACGAAGAAGCAAATCAAAATGACACAGCAACTATTTACACAGATTCCTGATTATAGAGCCCCTATAAATTAACTGCCTCAGTTAAAATGGAGAAAATGGAAACAATACCATGACGACAACACAACCTTATATCATGATAAGGTATTTTATGTGACGGTACGTGGCAGTGACACTTGGTATAATAAGTCAACCAAAAGTGAGATGCATAACACACATGGCGCCAAGTAGAATAAGACTCATAGCACGTGGGCAATGGTAATTGGTCAGTTAAATCATGTTGTCATTGCAATGTGGTGTAAAAGTCACATAAAATACTTTCTCCTCATATCACTAAGTAGGCATCTGAGCAAATGGAAGGAGAGAAGCGAAACCAGCAACCCCTACAACCCTCAAACAAGGGAGGCCTGTTTCAATTTGAATATTAGTCTTCTATCTCATTGATTACTCTAACATTAACCTATAGATATACCAAGCTCAAAATAAGTTCCCACCAGTGCAAGTTATACAAAAAACAACAAATAAATAACTGAAAAACAAAAGAAAGAAATTCTGCCAGAAATTGTTTCTATAACTTACTCCTCTCTTCTCCAATAAAGCATGATAATGTCTTCTGGAACATTGAAGATTGTGCTTGCAACTCAAAGACCTGCTCCCGCAGCTGCTCCAATGTTTTCTCGGAATCACTTAACTTCTCTTCCAACTCTAGGAAAGATGTTCCTAGGTTTTGGGACGAAGATATCCACTTATGAGAATCCTCAATCTCTTTTCGAAGAGTGGTGATGAAATCATCCAATTCTTTCACCTCTGAATCCAAAAACCCAGACAAGATATCGCATTCCAAGCCCTTTTCCATGGAACTCACCATTTTCTGACCTCTCTCCGGATCAAGTACTTCGAATTCACTCTCTTCCGTCGCCACATGCATCATGAGTATATTAAGATTGTAAAACTTCTCGGAAGTACATGCCAAATCAAGTTCTATCCTTGTCAGAACCTCCCCAGCCCTTCCCAACTCTCCATTCATTTCTCCACTAACAGAGACACCAGCAAGCGAATCAACTTTACAAGACCCTAGCTCCGAGCAATTAGTGTCGATATCATCGACAGAAACGCTCACATCCGAAACAGGATCCGAATCCATCTTACGAGCTTGATATTCCGGATGCCCTCAATACCTGAAAACCAAATCCAAGGACAAAAAGGCCAACAATCGAGTCAAGAAACACAACAGAGAGGAAAAAGAAAAATGGCACGAGCACGAACTGTAAAACTCTGCCTGAAACAAAAAAGGCACCATCCAAAATAGAAAAAGATTCATAAGGGCATCCCGAATATCAATCCGCAAATTGAACAGGAAAAAAAAAAAGTTCTCCCAACGATCCAACATATCCATGAAAACGAAATACAATCCTCATAAACCATCTTCAGAAGAACCAAAGAGGCAATAACAACATCTTCCGAATTAGCGGATCAAGCAGCGTCCCAGAATTCTCGACAAAAAGCACAGATATATATTCACATTCATCCAGTAGAAACGTTTCCCATAAACAAACCATCAAGTGGTCCGCACAACTCACAAAAAAGAAGAAGAAAGAATTCAACCCAAAGAATTCATTCCACGCAATAACCCCACAAACGACCTCACCATTTCCCTCCAATTCATCAAGAACGAAAGACCCGTCTCAAGAAATCGTCTAAAACAGCCGCACGGAACAAGAAAAGGATCCCTTGCCAAAGATTTCATTCGTTAATCGGATAAAGAAGAACAGAACCCAAAAAGCTTCCGGGCAAAAACGAATCAAGAAAAGAGCAAAAGAGACGGAAACCATACTCGGAGGAGAGAGGATCGCTCGCGACGCGCCTCCACGTCGCGAGAAGCATCGTCGGGGGGGTCTTTCGGCCCTCCCTTCGAGCACCAGGAGCACGGAACAGGAACCGAAGCGCGGCGAGAGGCTTTCCTCGAAAAAAGGGAAATGAGGAGGAAAAACACTAACAAGAAAATGTGGCGAGTATTCGAAATTTAATGGTTTTAAAGGAGGGGAATAAGGAATTGGTTAGAAAGTACAACCTCGGATGAATCGGTTTCAGTTTCGTGCCCGCCCACAATGAGCGGCGCCGCTCCTTACAGCCGAGCCGGGCCGGGCCGGGCCGGTCATCTTGGGGGAGAATATCATTAGGTGCCCAGATCGGGAAAAGTACCAAAAAAGTTATAAACCTATTGTATTCGGTTCTAAACCTTTTCATTAAATCGATTTAGCCCTAAATATTTTCACATTTGTATCAATTCAGTCCCTTCTGCCAACTTAAGTCAGAAATTGCTAACGTTGACGCCGATCGTCCTACATGGCATAGCCAACGGATGATGAGCGATGATGTTGACATTTTTTATGATATTTAAAAAAAATTCCCCTTTTTCTTTTGCTTTCTTTTTTTTTTTTCCTTCTCATCCCTTTGCCTATGGCTGGTACTCAACCATGGGCAGTAGACATGGTCACGGGCCAGTTTTGGCCCAGAACCGATCCGGGTCAAACCCGGGTCCGGCCCGTTGACCGGGCCCACGGTTCGGAACCGGAACCGGCCCGTGGCCTACGGGCCCGGTTCCAGTTCCAATAATTTTGGAACAGGCCCGGAACCGGCGGTTCTGGGCCCGGTTCCAAAAAAAAAAAAAAAACTACTTAGCATGCACTCTGCAGCGATTCCTCTCCTTCTCTCCAGAATCTTCCCCTCCTTCGGTCCTCCTCCGCCGCCGCAACCCATGGCCCACGCGCTCCCCCTGCAGACCAGCAACATCGCCAACACCGCCGCCACACCGGCGGCGGCGGCGGCGCAAGGGCGGGGGACCGTGGAGGAGACCTACGGAAGAAGTCCCGGCTCGAGCACATCCTCCTCCGCCCCGACACCTACATCGGCTCCGTCGAGAAGCACACCCAGTCGCTGTGGGTCTACGAGGGCGACGAGGTGGTCCACCGCCCCGTCGCCTACGTCCCCGGCCTCTACAAGATCTTCGACGAGATGCTCGTCAACGCCGCCGACAACAAGCAGCGGGAGCCTGCAGCCCCACGTTCCAACCCCACCCACGCCCACCTCCTCTAGTCCTCCTCCAAATCCCTCCTTCCCCCCTCTCCCCGGCGCCTCCTCCGGTCCTCCCCTTTTCTCCTCCGCCCGCCCCCCGTCTTTCCAGATCTGACCCCCGCCGCCGTCGCTCTCGCCCATGGCCGCAGCCGCCGACGCCGACGCCCCCTCCTCCTCCCCCCTCGCTACCCTGCGCCTCCTCCCCCCTCGAACCGGAACCGGAACTGGCCCGGAACCGCCGGTTCATACATGGCCACGAACCGGAACCGCCGGTTCCGAAACGGAACCGGCGGTTCCTGAACGGTGGCCATGTCGAATGGGCAGCGACCAGCCACAGGCGAGGGTCGCCCTCGCTAGCTCTAGTGAGGGCTAGACCCTCGCGGCTTGGGTGAGGGCCGCCCTCGCTAGCCATGGCCGAGTACTTGCCACAAGCCAAAGGGAAGAGAAGGGAAAATAAAGAAAGGAAAAAAAGGAAAGAAGAAAGAAAAAAGGAAGAATTATTAAAATATTATTAAAAATGTCCACGTCAACATCGGCCGTCCGTCAGTCATGCCACGTAAGATGACTAGCGTCGACATCAACAACTTCCAATCTAAATTGGCCGGATGGACTGAATTGATACCATTGTGAAAAAGTTTAGGACTAAAATGGTCCAACTAAAAGGTTTATAACCGAATTGGTACCAATGCAGTAGATTTATGATTTTTTAGGTACTTTTCTCCACTCATACGATATAGACTCGGTGCATCTAAATCATTGGATCTTGTGAGGCCCATTTGAGGCAGAAGATTCAACAATTCGTATCTTTTGGGCTATAAACTGGGTGGTTCTCGATAATTTCTCTTTTAATAGTATCACGTGGGATCTATATGATTTGGGATGGCAAAGAGCACATTAAGTGCAGAGGTGCCTAACTAGTCGTGTTATTATGGCTTGTCTGCTACAGTGTGAAGGTGGACTTTCCGTCAAGACACCATGTCGGGCCTAGCGTGGCCCACAAACAAAGCGGGAATGGGTCGTTCTTGTGCTCATGTCGCTCTCGCATCGTGCTTGGGGCACTATAAACAGAAATTCATCGCACAATCATGATGGAACATGTCTCATCGTAGTAACCTAATTCAATCGATGATGATTACTAATGGAGCTACCCAATCTTTGAAGAACATTTTGGAGTATCACATTAAATCAGATAATCAAAAGCCGTTTCTGATGAAATGTTTTAGCTGAAGAAGTGGAATCATTCTTTAACCAAGATCTTGACGAGGATTTAGAAGCGGCAAAATAGGTCAAAGACCCACTTTTTAACTTATATTGAATAGATTGACCAAATAAAAATTTTATATTTAATAGGCTGGATTACATGCGGGTTATTAAAATTTAAAAAAAATAGCATGTTGAAGCAGTATGTTGTTTTATATGAATTTTAATGGGTCTACAATAAATAACCATTTTCAACTTATATTTTTGAAACTAGGGATTGTTGTTATTATTATTTTCTTCCTCAGAAACCTACGTAATATTTTTTTCTGAAGAGCAAGCACATCCCAAATAGTCATTACACATTATTTGACTGCATTATTCTCCCAACCAGATCAAATTGTTGCATTTCCCAAAGACATAAGTAAGATCAGTTCATACATCGTGTTTCTCTATGCTTGATTCTCAGCATTCTATGAGGCCATTTTTTCAGCAACAGATGTTGTCGCGTCAAACTACCGATCGAAAGCATTTTGTCCTGAAAAAAGTCAAGTTTATCGTTTTACTTTTCTATGACAACTGAAGTATTTCCCCCGATAATGATAATTCAGCCGGACATTAGAATTTTTCAAAAGGGTTTGTTCACAAATTTGATTTGAAATTGTATGTTTGTATTTGGAATTGGGAAAATGATACAAATGATCCCTGAATTTAGATCCAATATGCAATATCTATTATGAAATTTTAATTTGTTCAGTATGGTTCCTAAACTATTAATAAAGGTTCAATCTAATCTCTAGATTATATGAATAATGTTCCATGGCGTCCTTTCAATAATTCATGTTGACTGAATCTCCTGATATGGCTTCCAATCTGTTAAGTTGGAACAGTAGACGATAATAAAAAGTTACGCTTGGATTTTCTGAGTAAGATATTCATATCAAATCTAAAATAGATTGATAAAAAGATGAATATCCTAACTCATCATTTTAAAAATCAACTTAAATAATAATCCAAGTTATCAAATAACATCTAATTTGTTATTTGAGCAAACGGAAGGATTGTGTTGAATATTTACCAATAGTTCAGGAATCACATTAAACAAATTAAAAGTCTGTGGATAATGTTGCACATTGGACGACCATTTATATCACTTTCCCCTTATATTTCAATACAAAGTCTACTTTTCTAATTTTTATGCATCATCCCCACCAAAAACAAATTTATGCATCGTGATCACCTTAATTGCTAATTGAATTAATTGATGCTCATATTCTTCTTTTTCGTGTGTAATTTGTTTTTAACTAGTTGGTTTTTTTTTTTTAGTATACTATTTCCCATATTTGAGGGGGACAGTCTATGTGGCTTAAATGGGTTGATTCAGAACTCACTCAAACCGACCAGCCCATTTAATAGATCTATGAGGATCCAAGTATATTCCTTCATGTTCAATTAAGACCTAACCATGAGATTTGTCTTCCTTCGTCTTCTTTTGGCGGCAATCCAATCTTTCCCACACACGAACATTAGAAGTACATGTTTTTATTAGAATATAGGTGAAAAGGGTAATCAGCAACAACGATCCCCTTTGAGCATTATCATAAAAGCCACATCTATCATGAAATGTTTAATATGAGTCATAATTAGTTTACACCACTCGTGACCCAAAAGGGAATCTTAACAAATATGTCATTGTAGTCCCACCAAGATACTAACAATCATGGATCTCGCAATTAGTTTTTGCACATGAGATATGCTGCGTCTGAAGGTACTAGGTGCCAAATCACTTCGGAGAAATGTCATTGCAAGTACTTGAATATTTGTACTTGGGTACCTTGTAACGTCCTTATCTTACCACGGGATTATTAATTTGACATTACAGGCATGTCGTCGTCTCGTTTCTTTCATCTGATTATTAAACACATGCGGAAACGTGTATAAACAAATTCCCAAACATAATAACAGTTGGAAATCAGGGAAAGCATAACAGGCAAGACACATTATTGTCATTTTACTTAAACATATTTTACAAGCCTTTTTTCCACGGGCCGTCCACGCACAAATCATATCCCAAGTGAAGGCCGAGGTTAATCTTAGCTCTTCTATGTCATCCTTCATCTTACGGACCTGAAAAGGAAAACAACGGGGGATGAGTCGGGAGACTCAATGAGTAAATTCACTAATACTCGTGCAGGATGATGCCTCGTCGTTGTACTAACGCATACAAATATTTTCCCCGCCTTATGTCGATGGCAAATCAATAACAAAGACTTTTGACCTTGCCCTTGCCATGTTCACATGGAAACTCACCTTTATCCGATCACATAAATTCGGCTTATCAATAAACACATATACCGGCACACAATGAATTCATTACATATCGGCACACATATAAAATTCATTTATTGTCATCCTGGCTCAACCGGGGCATCCCGACTCAATCGAGGCATCCAGCTTCATGCTAGGCATCTTGGCTCAACTAAGGCATCCCGGCTCAACCGAGGCATCCCGAGGCTAGCTCACCTGAGGCATCCGAGCTTAACCAAGGCATCCTAGCTCAACTAGGGCATCTCGACACTAGTTTACCGAGGCATAACCGCCAATGCTATGTGACGACGGTCTTCTTCTTTTATTTAGTGATCACACATCATGGGTCACACAAGCCGGTTTATTATCTTGATTTCACTAGTCCATGCAATCAAGCCCAAAGGCGTGCTGTGCTTGTGTAATCATGATCTCTAGAACATTCGCCTAACATGCAAGTCACGGTCGAGGGCACGTGGTTTGGTCCACCATGCCAAGCGCCGGCTTAAAGCCGAACTTGGCCGGGATCTACACCTCCCAATATAAATTCGCACCAAGCCGAACTCGTCCCGTGATGCCACAACATGAGTACAAGACCATACGATACCCCGTTTCATGACTCGTACGTGCCTTGACTTACGATTATGAAGCAAAACAAGAAGCATTCATGCAAACATCGAGCATCACAGACACGATCACTACTCGAGCCAAACTCGTAACACCATGTCTTATCCTCTTACAATTTAACAAGCATGGATGAGAACATCAAGCATGGTAACAAGCGATGCGTGCAATTATCGAGACAAATAACAACACGCAAGTCTTAACAAAGACTCGGGTGAGAACTCAAGTCAACAACGCACCATAACTTCCTATCCCGAGATTAGGGAAGCCACTTACATGCCGCGTTCCAACCACGTAACACACTGCCCTATTCAAGTATTAGGCAATTCACTCACCTATAATCACAAGAAAACGTCTATGGCGATTGGCGGCGGCAAATGGTGAGAGAGAGAGAAGTGTTTGGTGTGAGGGTGAGAGATGGGAGAGAGGCGATGAAGGGGTGTGTGGTAACTAAGGGGGGGAAACTAAGCCTATTTATAGGCAAGCCAACTTGATCCCCAAGCTTAATCATGAAGAAAAGACAAATGACATCATGAAATAGCCCCTAAAGTCAAGTGCCATCATGACTATGATCTAGAAAATCTTGATCATTAATGACATTAATAGAGGAGAGCCAAATGACATTAATGAAATAGCCCCTAAAGTCAAGTGCCATCATGACCATGATCTAGAAAATCTTGATCATTAATGACATTAGTGGAGGAGAGCCAAATGACATTAATGAAATAGCCTCTAAAGTCAAGTGCCATCATGACTATGATCTAGAAAATCTTGATCATTAATGACATTAATGGAGGAGAGCCAAATGACATTAATAAAATAGCCCCTAAAGTGAAGTGACATCATGACTATGATTTAGAAAATCTTGATCATTAATGACATTAATGGATGAGAGCCAAATGACATTAATGAAATAGCCCCTAAAGTGAAGTGCCATCATGATTATGATCTAGAAAATCTTGATCATTAATGACTATGATCTAGAAAATCTTGATTGTTTCATTAATGATATTAATGAAAAAATCTAGCAAATCTTAACAATTAATAGCTCTCTCTCTCTTTCCCTTCTTATCTCTCTCGGCTCCCTCACGGTTTTCCCCCTTCTTGGCCAACTTCCTCATTTGTTTTTAGCTCATTATTGGTGACAATGAGTCACCATGCTCCAATAATAAGGGTGGAAAATTCAGCTATTGAGCAATTATGTAGGGGACACCTAAACATGACTCAATAATGGTGGCTTCAACAAGAAGAATTGGCCCTTGACTTGGCCAATTTCGTTTTCATATATGCCCCCTTCGTGTGACCTCCAATCAAAGCTTAGCATAGCTCATTTGAAAGCTCAGAATGAGCACATTAAATCACCAGAAGACATCAAGTCGAGATTCCAGCGTTCTCATATAGAAAATGATGAATCTTTGAAATCTGACAAAACAGGCAGTTTTTGTATTGTTCTAGAATCGGTCGTAAAACCGTAGTAAATGAACTTAGAAAATTCCCAAATTCGAATATGTCATAAAAAAGACCTTAACAAACATTTTCCATGAAGAACAAAAAATCTGAATCTTTCTGTAAACACAGATTTTAGTAGCTCAAAGACAGACTAAAATTGGTTTGCCGGAATAGAATCTTTGCTTCTCAAAGTAAGCTCTTTCCAGAATCCAAATAATCTCAAAAAATTCCTAAATTTATATATATTATAGAGAAATAAGTTCTAAACAACTTTTATGAAGGAAGTTTGTTCAAATTCGGCCCAGAAATGTTTTTAGAAAATCGAGAAAGTGTGAACATCACAGAAATACCCATTCTGGGCAGTTTTACACGGTCCGAAATTAGGCTATCGTACTACTCATATCAAGTTCAAAAATTATGAAACTAAAGTATGTAAAACTTCAAGATGTTTGGAGAAACTTTTAAGAAGGAAGTGTTTGAAAATTCGGATCACAAAAGTCTCCACAAAAATAACAAAATGAAAGGGATACAGAGGATCCAAATATGAGTTTTCCGGAACAAGAGTAGAATTGGCTCCGATTGGAAAACTACAAAACTTAAACCATAACCATTTCTCAGGGATTGAAATTGAGGATGTTACATACCTAAACTCTTTTTTTGCTGAATCAAATACCTCAACTTTTCAAATATCGGTCAATGCGATACCTCAGTTAAAATCACCACATTAGCATCCTATGTGTCCTCATGAGTTGATGTCACCTTTGTATAGACACATTAAATGGCTAAGATCGTCTAGGTCGGCATCCTCTCTCTCTCTCTCTCTCTCTCTCTCTCGCAACACTTCCATGGAATTGGCATAATTTCCACTTAGCGCTAGCAAGCCACGTCATCAATTTTGCTATAATTTTGCCAAGTAAGCGAGATCCGTCAGCAAAATCTTATGACTAGGTAATTTTTCAATGGAGACCTTACATCAAGTCATTTTTTTTTTTGGGTCAAATCATCAAATAAGGTTAGATACTTGATCGAATAAAAAAAAAGTCTAGATACTCGATTGTACCCGAGCACTTATCTTTTCGAAGGACATTCTCCCGGTTACTCTAAAGGCGAACTCTAATACCAATCTTGGGTCAAATTCGAGGTTTTAATGACAACCTATAAAATTCAAGAGCGTTATACGATAATTTGCCAATTTGGTTGGTAAAAGAAGATGATTCAACTGCCAGGGAGATGTCTGCAGAAACAAAACAAGCCCAGCCCTTTAACAATATCGGACCCAATGTCTCCCTGATTGCCATCAGCTGAAGGACACAAACCCGAATATCATGTGTTTGAAGTAGACCGCAGAATCCAGAGCTTCATTCCAGATTTCGAAAACTACTGAACTCTTCCAAGTTTTAAATCGTAACCCTCTTTCAAGAATCCCATTCCCATTTTGCACTCGTCGCTATGGTCGCAATCTTCCACAGATTTCTCTAATCTACATATGTAAACAATGCATATTCATTCCCCAGATGCTCGTTCCTCTTGCAGTAGATCCTCCGAACTAATCCAAATTCAGTGTCCCCATCCCCAAAGTTTCATTCTAATCTTGTCAGAATCAGTTTGCCACTTGATTGTGTCATCAGAATGCATTGAAAAAAAAAATAATCAAGAAAAGAATCTTATCTGCACTTAATAACATCCCAACAGGCAAGGTTCATCAGTATGAGGCAACCTCCTAATCAACTCAGTTTGCAGAGTATTTACACATTAAAACACTGAAAACCTTCTCGATGTACATAAGCTTTGGTAGTTGCAGAACCAATAGGCATCTACATAACCTTAATCCACAAGTCTTGGAAAAAATTTCAGCTTCACCATAGCAAGCATCAAAAGCTAATGAGACCCAGAAAGGGTGAGAGCAGTAATTTGAACTTAAACCATATGAAAATGCAGCACTGTCCCTGAATCACTGTAGATTTACCACATGTTTACGGATGCAAGTAAAGCCTAGAAAGATAAAACCAACTTCTGTGCACACCTTGTAGGAAAAGTTTATTTTTGGCATAACCCTGACAAACCTTTCAGCATAAGTTGAAAAGCAACAATGCCTTCTCATGTGCTCGAATAAACTACAAAGCTTTTTCCCAGCTTTTAAAAGAATAAAAAGCTCACAAACCTGAAGCAACTGATTCGAGTACAACATACACTCGAAGGCAACAATAGAAAGAATCAACATGATGAACATCATAACAGCAGAAGAAAACTTTGTAACAGAGCTAAACATTTCAGTCCTTCTAGAATGATGCCCTTTGAATATGCTCATAGTCTTGGTATGGTAACACTTTACATTTGAAACTTTTAATCTTCTGCAGCCTACAAGCTAACACCCACAGTGATGCATCGACCTGTAAAGTAACAATATGGGCGATAGAAATTCTGTTGAAAACAACAGAATGGAGAAAATATTCAGCATATAAACTGTTGAGTATGCTTGATAAACTCGAATGTGTTTTTGCTGTGATATACTGATCTCTTCTTGAACTGGTTACGAATCGTCAGCATACTTAAAGAAGTATAAATCACTTTTACCTTCGAACTTTCTCAAAACTCAATTGCATAAGTGTCGTTCTCCATACTCTCGGCGTTAGTTCTTTCTGATAATACTTAAAGAAGATTCTGCTCTCAAGTCATAATGGAAGCTCTTGTCTAGCGAACTCTTCGCAAGTTTTGAAGCATTAAAGCCCGTGTCTTGCCATCAGGCTTAAGCCCTTTCTCACGCATTCTCATGTAGGTCTTCTTTGCAGAATCAATCTTTCCCCTCAAGCACATCCCTTGAATAACAGCATTATATAGAGATGCATTTGGTGAAGCCTGCTACAAACCAGAAAAGTGTCACTATATAACAGATCTTTTACATTCTCCATGAAGCATCACCAAATTAGTGGCAGACAGCAGCAACTGTTCGGAAAAAAGATTTAGAGACTATGAGATGACAAAAGACCAAGAATAAAAACAACTTCAACTTGTTGGGAGTGTTAACCAGCTGAGGATGCAAAGGAAAGAATTAAGCTCCTGACAACTTTCCAAAAGAACTGACTGTCTCATCAAAACCAATAGATAAAACTGCAGAATTTGAAATTTCCAGAAGTGGCACCTATCGCTCATTTTAAAATATATAGAAAGATGGATATAGGTATGATGGCAAAGCATGTCAAAGAAGCTCACTTTACCTTCAAAATTTCTTCTATTTCAATCCAGAGAGATCCCCAAATGCAACTTCTTACTAGAGATAGATGGGTAAACATATCAGGAGTGCAGTTCTTGTGTATCATGTGTTCATACACTTGCAAAGCTATTTCTGGCTTTCTTGCAACCTCACAAGCGTTAATAACAAGATTATAAGATGCAGTAGAAACTGATAGCCCAGAACTTTCCATTTTCCAAAGAAGTTGAAGAGCTCTATCCCATAACCCAAGTTTAGAACAAGACATCAAAGCATTGTTGTACAGATGAACATTGAGCTGAGAGGCCTGCTCTCTCATTATGTTGTCAAAGAGCCGAAGAGCATCACCTGGTCGGTTTGCCCGATATAAAGCGCTAACAAGTGCATTCATTGTGTAAGCATCAGGAGTGTGGCCAAAAGATTTTGTAATGCTATAGACCTTGAATGCTAACTCGACCTTTCCAGCTTTGCCAAGCGAATTAATCAACACATTGCATGTGATCAGATTTGGCTCAAGTGCATTGCTCAACATATTCTGGTAGATGTTGAGTGCTAAATCCCATTTACCTTCTTTCGTGCTTGCTTTGATTATAGCTTGCGATATATCGGCATTGGGTTTATATCCATTTAGCACCATCTCCTCATAAGCATCAATTGCAAGCTCGTACTGACCACAACGGACGAACACACTGATTAATTCGGAATAAGTGACTTTGGTTGCTGTAAGGCCATTTTCCTTCATGCTCATCCAAAGCCTCTCACACTTATGCCAATAATTCATCCTTCCACAGATGGATATAATGGTGTTGTAAACAACAGCATCAAAATCTTTACTCCTATTTCCTTCCTCTTCTAATTCCATAAACATTCTGAGCGACGAATCGCAACCTTGAGCATGTGCAACTGCTTTAAGCATTAAGCTATAAGTATGCTGCGTGGTGATTGTTTTGTCCTTCATAAACCTAAAAACTCTCATTGCGTCATCATTAAGACCATTCCTCAGAAGGGACAATAATAGAGAATTACAGGCATGCGCATTTGGATGCAGACCCGCCAATTCCATCGATCTCAACAACTCCAATGCACTTCTAACCTTGTTTCTTCTACTGAGCACCAAAACCCGCTTCGATAACACCTCTGCATCCATTTCCTCTAGAAATTGCACGCCCTGTTGGTTCGCAACAACCGATTCTGACGCCGCTGGACCCTCATTTACACCTCCGAGCCCCAACCCAAAGTCATCGAAACCCGAATCTCTCCACGGAACCAACCCATTAACATGGAAACTCGACTCGAATTCTTCATTTTCAATCGGAACCACGTCTTCCTCTTCCTCTTCCTCGCACATTAACCCCGGTATCGCCTTCCTAAGCATAACCCCAACAGCACTAGACTCATTCAACCTCACCGAATTAGAACAAGAAGTTTCGGTCGTCACACCGGAAACCATGCCGAGTTTATGCATCAGCACCGAGCCGAACCACAGCAGGTGCCGGGACCGGGTTGTACACAAACAACCCGCGAACCGAGCCGATGAAGTCGCTCCGGAGACAAAACTATTCGACAGCGTTGCCATGACCCCGACAAGAATTACGTCTCAATTGCAGCCGAACATCAAACTTTTTTGGTTCCTAAAGGCAGGGGATTGACGAAGAACTCACCTTCGAATGCACGGCCAGCTCGAAGAACAGCTCAAGCATAAAGTGCTTGGCGGCTGAAAGCTTCGTCCACCCATCGAGTTGGAGGAAAGAGGAAGTGCGTGTCGACGAAATTCAGAGGGAGGAACGCCGGGGCACTGAGCCGGAGAGATGGGGGCAGCGGGCACTGATGGGTGGTGCTTCGTACAGAGAACTCCCCAAAACGGAAGGGATACTCGTATGGGGTGAGACAGATGAGGGGTGATCAGGGCAGGGGTGTGCACGGCACGGGGTACAGGACCGAAACGCCGGTTCTCGGCTTTACATGCAGAACCGAACTATCTAAATGGTTAGATTGATATGTTATTTTTCTTTACCAAAATCCTAAATCGAGCCGGTTCAATTCGGGAATTGGACCCGGACCGACCGATTTGGTCTAGTCCGATATTTGGCTTTAGAGTGGAACTGGCCCGAATTTGAAACTGATCACCCCCCTAAGGGTGATTGCCGATTGGGCAGTCATGTCGCTGGAGTGTTCACGTTAATTAAGTGAATTTTACGCGTGAATAATTGTCGTCTTATGGTAATTGACCCTCTTGACCTACCTAATAATATTTAGACATGATAATAAATTGTATGAGAACTTATAAGCGGTATGCCATCGTTCCTCTATTTTTTTTTTTGTTTCAAAATGATCTTCATACTTTTGAAAATGTTCACCGGTAGTTTTTCCATTAGTTTGGTCGGTCAGGACGCTAACTTCAATAATGGAATACACAAGTCACGTTAGGAATCGCTATAATGTTTTATGTAGACTTATCAAAATGGGTCTTAAACTTATTTATTAACGCAAAATTGTTTAAACAGGTCATATATGGGTCATCTTAATTTCGAATGACCTAATCATACGGGTTCCAAAAATGAAAAGCACAAAACAAACGGGTTTAAATGGGTTCTCGAATGAACCCATTTCGAACCCACTTAAATTAGGACTCTCTCTCTTTGACCCCCAAAAAAAAGAAATTAGGACTCTCTCCTGCCCCCTACTCCACAATACTAATATCAATATAGACAATATCAAGCAAAGCACAGAAGCAATCGAACATATAGAACTGATTTGAGCAAAGCGAATCGGCAATAATACATCCAATAACAACACACTTTCAATTCGCCGCTCAAGAACTTCGTCAAGAACAATAAACAGTAGCATACCTAAAAACCAGCATACCTTTAGGGAAGAGAGGCAAGCGGCAAAGTGGCGAGCGGCGTCGAGAGTGAGCATGAGGGAAGAGAGGTGAGTGGCATCGAGAGCGAAAACTATGTGGAGAGCGAAATAGAGAGAGAGGAGACACGAAAGAGAGGAGTGGCACTTTTAAGGTTTGTTTTAAAAGGGGTAAAAATGGAAGTATACTTGATAAACGAGGGTAAAATGAAAGGTTTTGAAATTTTCATTAAACCAAAGCTCAGCATTCCAAAAATGCAACTTTCCAAGGCACCTCTAACCCTACATTGATCTAAAGTCCTTTGGAGAGCATTGGAAATGCAATTGCATCTTCCCAAAGTGAGTAAAAAAAGTTATCAAGCGCTATTTGCATTTGGTCAAGGGACGTTAAAGCCCCGGTGTTCATTTCGAATGCTGAACCAAACGGACCTCAAACCCTCTTCCCTCTTCTTTAGATATACGAATATTCATCCCTTGCTGTTGGTCTCCATTTCTTTATCCACACCTCCACCAACCACAATGTAGTGGAGCCCAATCACCAAATTCGAACCAATTCAAGTGGATCCTTCCATACAAATTGTATCATATTGACCAACTGGATTGTGTTGACAAAACATCAACGTTACCAAACGATCCACGGATCAATTGGTCGATTCCTGGCCGTCGGATATACCGACGCTCCGTGGTCAGTGGGATACAGTTTCAATTACAATCAAACCTACCCAAAAATTCGATCCACCCGCTCGTTTTGTTTCAAGTCTTTTCTGGTCAAACTCTGCTCAAACTCACCTGCAGAACCAATACTGTCCAATTCTTCTGACCTGATTAAGTTTTAAGTCCTAGAATTTTTGTAATAATCTTGGAACGCACGTACGCACTTTTTTTCCCTTCCCACTCTTTTTTCATATGAATGTCTGTACGGAAAAGGAAAATCCTTTTACTCTTTTTTTCCAATATTTCAAATGGAAGTCATTATTTCAAAAAATTTCCGTAAAAATATAATATATGGTTTCGGGCTTCAAACGCTAATGTGTTTTGAAAGATTTTTAAACCTTTCGCGTTTGAATAAAAGTGAAAAAAATAGGAGCTGTCGAATTCGAGAAAAAAAAGTACCGATAAAGAATCTTATCAAACAGGCAGATAATGACTTTTAGTATTAATTTTGCAAAACCCATGTACCCCAATCAAAAGCCGTTTGAGATCGGTGGAAATTGTTTTATTTCATAAATATTCTTAGTATTTTGTTACTTTAAAGAACCTCTTCCAACGTTCGAACATGTTTTTCTTGAAACCAGCGAGAAAGAAAAAGAACAGGAAATTAGACCAAAAGATAAACAGGAGAGGAAGAGAGATGGGCTGTATCGTAGGTTAGTTTTCTTTGCTGCTCTCTTTCATTTCAACGCCAGAAGTTTTTTAACTTCACTGATCTCGGAGTCGGAAGTCTCCTCTTCTCCGACAAACCCCAGAAGCAAAATCTGGGATGGCGGTTCCTTCTGCCCGAGTGCGGAACGTGATCCCGTCCAAGAACACCTTTTGACGCATCTCTGACGCGGTAAGTGATTCGCCCGCATTGATTCATCTGTTTCTTGATCTGGGTTTCGGTGCTTGCTCCCTTTGAAGATGCCAAGCGACGGAAAGGTTTGGGCTTGTTGGGTTTTTGTCCGTGCGGCGGTCTGAATCGAGGTCTGGCGGTTGCGAATTTGTGATCTTTGTTGTGTGTGGACCATGAGATAGAGCTGGAAACTCGTCTTGGTAGAGCTAGGTTGATGGAACCGGGGCGCGCGGACGAAGTTGGGTCGTCTTCTCCATCTGGGTCTGGCGTTTCCACCTCCCAATTGACCGAAGATGGGGCTATTCGCGTCGACGACAGGTGCCCTAAGCAAGTGTCGCCCATAAGGGGTGGTGGGTCGAGAAACACTAGCCCCTTGAGCCGGGCAGGATCAAGAAACACGAGTCCTTCTAGGCAAAAGGTTATTAAGACGAAGCCCCGAGGTTTAGATGAGGAAACGGCGGCTACATTCAGCAAGATAGTGCACCCTGATGTTCAAATGGAGGATAATATATGGGCAATGTTGCCGGAGGACTTGCTGAATGAGATTTTAGCTAGAGTCCCCCCATTTATGATTTTCCGGCTTCGTTCAGTTTGTAGGCGTTGGAATTCTATCCTCCAGGATAGTAGCTTTCTCAAGTTCCATTCGCAAGTGCCGTCTCATGGGCCGTGTCTTCTGACATTTTGGAAAAATTCGCAAACCCCCCAATGCTCGGTTTTTAGTTTGCCTCTGAAAACATGGTACAGGATTCCTTTTAACTTTTTGCCGCCTTGGGCATTTTGGTTGATCGGCTCATCCGGAGGTCTCGTTTGCTTTTCTGGGCTTGATGGGTTGACTTTTAAAACTTTAGTCTGTAACCCTCTTACTCAGACATGGAGGACACTGCCAAGTATGCATTATAATCAGCAAAGGCAGTTGATCATGGTTGTTGATCGGACAGATCGGTCTTTTAAAGTAATTGCAACGAGTGATATATATGGCGACAAGTCGTTGCCGACTGAAGTGTATGATTCGAAGCTTGACATTTGGTCTCTCCACCAGATCATGCCTGCAGTTAATCTTTGCTCCTCAAAAATGGCGTTTTGTGATTCTACATTGTATTTGGAAACTCTCTCACCTCTTGGACTGATGCTATTTCGATTGGACAGAGGGCTATGGGAACATATCCCTGCTAAGTTTCCGAGGTCCTTATTGGATGGGTATTTGGTTGCTGGTACCCAGAAACGTCTGTTTCTAGTTGGGAGGATAGGCCTTTACAGTACACTTCAGAGTATGAGGATTTGGGAGTTGGATCATGGAAAGAATACCTGGGTGGAGATCAGTAGAATGCCGCCGAAATACTTTCGGGCTCTTTTTCGGTTGTCTGCTGAGAGATTTGAGTGCTTTGGACAGGATAACTTGATCTGCTTTACATCTTGGAATCAAGGGAAGGGTCTCATATACGATGTAGATAAGAAGGTTTGGTCTTGGATTGCTGGCTGCGCTCTTCAGTCATACAACAGCCAGATTTGCTTCTATGAGCCAAGATTTGATGCTTCCATTAACTGAACGGAGAAACATGGTATCATGCTTCTATTTGACAAGAATTATGTGGGATTGTTGGCTTCATCGGCATATGCATATATCAGCTACCTCTCGCTTCCCTTTTCCAATTGTTAACTGACCTCATGAATTAGCGGCATTTCTGTTGTTTGAGCTCTTCTTTGGGGATCATCCTCTGACATGACTACGATTGAAAGAAGTGCTTTTGTCTCAATTCAAGAGCACAACTAGTAATGACACTATTCATCAAGCTTTTCGTGCTGATTATTTGAAGATCATTGCGTTTACTCACTTGTATGGAAGTGGCTCTTGAGAGTCGTTGATTCGTGGACAATAGCCTCTGGGAGAGTATGTAATTACATCTCCTTTTGTACTCTTGGAGGCAATTATATATGGAAATTGTATCACTTGATTAATGGGCTCGTCATTTGGTTTTATTTTTCTTCACAATTGGCTCGTGATTGTGTCCCCATGTCGGAAATTTTCAGTGTCCAGCTATTTCTTACTTGTTTATGTGCACCTTTCCTTGTGCTGTAGTGATATCTGCTCGTCAACTTGCGACGTGCTTTGTACTGCATCTGTGTGAGGAGTTTTGCACGCCAATTTTTTAAAGTTTTTTTCCCCTGTAATGGTGCCTTTTACTGAGTTTAAAAATGTTTCAGTATAGAGCTTCCTTTATGGCAGTGTTTATTATGCCAATGGCATTTTTACCTGTTGACAAAAGCGTATGCTGGAATTCCATGTTGATAATATTTTAGGAAGAGTTCTTCTTAGTCTTCTTCACTTTCATGTCATAGAGTTCCAGCAAGTTGTAATTTAGAGAATAGAAAAGTAATAGGTACATCGATGCCTTCTGAAGAACAACTCTTAGAAGCTGATTTGACTTTGGCCACTTAAGTGGCATATCGTGAAAGGCATTGTCACAAACTCCTCGTCCTTATTTGTGGTCAAGACTCTCAAATAAGTAGAAAGTAAGGGTCTGTACTAGGTTTTGCCCTTAACGATAGAAGCTTGGTCATGGCCATTTCCTTACTTAGCAGGAGTGCCCTTTCCATCAGAATGGGCTTCCTGCTTCCAAATACCTGACCAAACAAAGGAGAAGAAATCTTGCTCAGAGTGCAATTCTAATTTTGCTGATTCTCTCAAACAAAAGGTGAACTGACTTGGCTCAGAATTGCGTGTGCAAAAGGGTGCCCATAATGCAAAGTTTCATTCTTGTCAAATATTTTTTTTAACTGCGCTGGATAATCCAGTCGAATTATGCAATCTGAACTTCTTGCTGTAAAGTTTGCTTTGCTGGGAAGTTATGGGTAAGATTGCTGGATATGGAGGGTGTAGATTGTTTCGTATGCTGTATCTGCTAAGAACTACTAATCCATTACTCATCAATACTGATAACAATGAGATCAATCGTACCATGGTAAGTACGTCGCAAATATTGTTTGAGATATGAAGTGTACTGGAAATGTTTATAGGTACTAGTTAATTCTCTGAAATCTGCTAAATCTTGTTTATCTGCTATTATGTCCCCAATAACGATGTCACTTTGATGAAGCTCTCAGCTAATCCGAACTAGAAGAGTGTGCTCTTTGATTTCCTGATGACAGGGTTCTCTCTTTTTGGTTTGGTCTAAGAAAGCTATTAAAAGAGCCATGTATTTGCAATTTTCTTCAATTCTTGCATAATTGCCCTGTTTGGGTTGTATAATTTACTGGTGAGGGAGAACATCTGGCTTGATTGGGATTTCATCTCCTGGAAAGTTCATGCTCTTTATGAGGGAAGATTCTGATTACTCGTCCTGGTAAGTTTTAGTTGGTTAGACATCCTGTTTGTGACTATGAAATGAGCCATGTATTGCCTGCTGAATGCTTTCGAGTCTTTTCCTTTGGGTTGGTTTTGACCTCAAACGCATGTGACATAGTCGTATCAGTTTCTCAGTGCTAGTCCAAAGTGGTGTTTTTGAAGTAACAGGAGTAGCCACAATTTTATGTCTGTCCTTGTGGGGAGTTCATTCTGAACCAGCTCTTAAGGATCTAAAGTATTTTTTTCTCACGAGATCGAAGATTGAACTAGTGTGAGCTAAAACAGTGGAGTTGATTAGTCTTTTGGAATTTGAATTGCGTTCTGTATGATCATATTAACTTGCCTGTGTCCTTTTTATGTTTAATTAAACAACCAAGCTGAATTTGAGAAGTTCTTGATTCCAGAGATGAAATAAAAGAAGACCAAACCAAGAAGATAGAAGAAACCTTGCTTGCCAAAAGAAAAAATTTGTGAGGGATCAAAATAAGAACTAAAGTTTGTTAATGTAGCAGAGCTTTTCAGAATTTGAACTTGCATCTTCCAAGTCTAGTCACCGGTTGTCAGGTTAGACAAGATAGGTAAACTTGGCCTACAATATTGAAACGAATGACCTTGTACCAGCTATGCCAGTGATTAGAAAATTTCTGTCGTCCATCATTCTCTCAATTAATTATTTTGTATTTTACTTCCGATAATCTGCAGAAGAAGGAAATACATCAGGTTTAGGATATCATTTCTATGCACACTTTTCCTGAACTGAAGGTTTTTCTAGTATGATTTCACAGTTGTATTTAACGAATGGGTAACGTCAAATGAGTCGAGGAGGAGCTGAAGGCATAGGCAGGCCTGGGATTATGCAAAGATAAAACAGAAGCTTCTAACATTTGGCCCGTGTGGGGGATATGAATAAGAGAATGGTTGAAACTGCAAAGAGTGATTTTGTGGATAACCACTGAAAGCCAAAGGAGACTAGAAGTGCTTGATATCATAGATATAGCGAATGGTCCGTCATGCCATGAGTCCTACCTAAGGCTAAGGCGCTGCATGATGCCATTTCTATGATGTTTTTTTTGTGACAAAGAGAAGGTTCTCCTTTTTCTTTACTGCTGCAAAATTCACAATGAGATGGGTCTATATTATCTTGACATATGATCTTTTAGGTTACCTGCTGATATATCATATAATATATATGCCGAGTCTTCTCATGCTTTCATGTGCTGCAGGAATTTAAGCTTTGGACCGGGAGCTGTTGTTCGAAGAACTAATCCAAGCACAAAAGATTATAAGAATTTATAAATCATGTGCTCTGTATTAATGGAAACAGGAATACTCTCTGTCTCTCTCTCTCTAAATTGTCAATGGTTCCTTGAGTTAAATTCTGCATGCCTTGCATATGGTAAGTCTATTCGGGACCGGATTGAAGCTGAGTACAGGTTGCTGCATTCCTTGCATGCATTGTGAACGCAGAAACTGTGAACACAATGGAGCAAGAACACAATGAATCAAGATTCAGTTCCAAGTCCGAGGCATGAGACAACGATCCCGAAGAAGGGAAAACATATTAGATGCGAAAATTCGCCGGTAGTTTCTGCTTAGCATGGGGTTCCGAGAGCGAGGATTCAGTAGTGACAGTGATACACTCCCTCTGGCATCTTTTGAAGTAGGATAACCATGAAACTTCTGGCGCTTGACTTTGCTACCTAAAACAATGTTGCTTTGTGGCTTTCAACCTCAGAATCTTTTCCACAGAGATGTCAGCGTTGGAGGGCTTCTCTTTTGTTACCCAATTGGCTACAAAAAAGTATGAAACTCCTAGTAGTGGATACGTTAGCAAAAGGGGGCAAGTGAGGAACAAAAAGTAATAGATGAGCGCCGTTGATCAGAGCTTAAATGATTACATAATGAAGGCAGCATATCAGAGGTTGATTTTTTAGTATAGTTTGGTTTTTAACAAAATAGAATGCATCTCCTCACCACCATATCATCCACGAATTGCACCATGTGTTGGTCTCTCTCTCTCTCTCTCTCTCACAGTTCAACCAAACATGCATGTTTTGATTATAACGCTCTAGGAATTGGTCTTGGGCCAGCCGGCACCCTAATTTGTCAGCATCCTACCAAACCCTCTATCATGTCTTCAAGTGCTGACATATTATGCCCGAGAGGTTTTCTTAATTATAAAAAAAAAATTTAAAAAAATCCACAAATTCTTCAGCAAATATATAAATAAAATGAAAGATTTTACATACAGGTCAACCATTACATTCCTCTTTCCTCCGTACACGCTACTTTGCATGTGTGTGGGGTCATGTGAGTTTCAGAAAACTCCCTTATTTAACCAGCTAGCCCCCCTAAACTGATTCATTTTTCATTTAAATGATTCATGATTGATAAAGTATATTTGGAAATAGAGATTTTGGATAGTTAAAAGTAATATGGAAACTCACACGGTGAAACAAAGGTGGACTAGAACGCCGCTGGAATCAATCAACCTTTTGGTTTGTCATAGATTTGATCAAATTATGTCCAAACGTTTTGATTTATAAGATGTGTTCGTGTGGTTTTAGGACAACTAATATTAAGTCAATTAATTTGCTGCGGCATTAAAAAGAAGATCGAAAAGATCGTACGTGACTTTGAACATCAATATATGTAGAATTATGTTAGAAATATTTAGGATTTTAAAGTTTGGGGGCATCCAACATCAATACATTCAAGATGTCGATCCTCCGAACAACGATTGAAAAAGTATAGTCACTCCAAGTACACACGTGCACGGAAAAAGGAACTATCGAAAACGGTCGCATTTTTTTTTTGTCGGAAATAAAAAGAGAATTCTTTTTGTAATCCAATTACGTAATCGTCGAGAAAATCATTGTCTCGATGGTGAAAGTCATTGTTATTTAATTAGTACACATATCAAGACAATTACCCATATAGAGAAAGTTAACATTCTATCCCGATTTTTTATTTTTTGGCACGGGACTGTGGACGAACTATAGCACAAAAGAGCTCCGATGATTGAAAAATATAAGTAGCATGCTTGAATTTACTCGTATTCAATTCCAACACATGTTAAGATAATTACCCATGTCAAGAACTTTAGAATTCAAAACAATTTTTTTTGGCATGGTAATGCTCAAAATGGGCCGCCCGTGCTATTCGCATCTCCATAGCCTTTTCGTCGATAAATGAAATTAAAATTTACCCACGCCGAGGGGGTTACACTTTCAAGATTCCATCCCGCAATTTTCCGGCACGGGACGACGGCCGATCCTCTTCGAACGATGCCATTGAGACAGAATCGAAAGCACAAAAGGAAATCAAATTGATTACAAGGATGAGCGTGAGCACCAACAAGATCGAGAAGGGAAAAGAAGAAAACGAAGGAAAGAAAAAAACGGGAGAGGCGGATCCGCCTAAGTCCTTGTTTTTCGCACGACCCTCTCGCAGATGACTCCAATGAATGTGCCGGTTCTTGTCCCCGCTACGCACAATCCCGTTTTATATTCAATCCCATTACCTTTTCTTCTGTTGGCTTCTTGGTTTACTATTCGCCAAGACCCACTTCAGCTTTTCCTCTTACCAATCACCGTGTTTCTTCAATCTCTCTCGTCTCTGCGCAGTTCCTTTTCGTGAACTGGGTCGTACCCCCTCTAGCCTTGACTCTTGACCCAGAAGCCAACCCTGAAGATGGAAGCCGGCGGAGGGCAAAGCGGGAGTGATCGTGCCTACCCAAGTTCCCCTTCTCTGCGCAGGAGCTGATCGAAGGGGAATTCTGCTGATTTGGCTGCTGAGCAGGCACAGCTCACGGTGGTGTTTCTGGGTGCTGAAAAGAAAAGCAGAGGAGGTGATTCCTGCGCGTTTCTTGTTTTTTTTGGTGAAAGAAGAAAAGGGTCGTGCTCTGTTGTTCTGAGGGTGATCCTTCCTTTTGTAGCTTTCTGGGATCGGTCGTTATTGTATTCTGCTTGCTTTTTTATGGTTGTCGTGTTTGAATGTTCGAGTTGTGAGGATGGTGGAGTGTATGTAGTGGAATGGGTGTTCTTCTTGTGCTTGCGAATTTGGAAGTTGTGTGCCCTCCTGGGGCTAATGATATTTATGTGAATACGTGTTTTGCTTAGGCTATGGCTAGTTGGTGTTCCCTCCCTTGTGTAGCAGGGATCGATGTCTCTTCGGAATGTATAGTCCGAGCTGATAGTTGGGAGGCTTTGGAAGGGAATTTGCCTCCTCTCATGTTGCAGTTTCGCATGTTAGGCTTTTGCTGCGAAATGAACTTCCGTAATCTATTGGTCATTTGTCGTATATCCTTTAATAGTGTTTGAATGAGTGAGAGTAATTGGCCAATAGCTTTTGGAATTCGCGCAATTGTAATAGGACTCTCCTTCAACCCTGTGTCTTTTCTAGTCTGGTGAACAATACATATTTCATACAAAAGCACCATATCCATCTTTTTTTCTCCCTCTTTCCTTTTGCTGACATGAAGATTATAAAGTGGTTATCTGCTAAATTGTCTTGTTTTGATGATATATGCAGCTTCAAATGATTTATTTCCACTTTGTTATTCATTCTTGATCACATTGTACAGTTGTACTAGACACTGCTTGTTTAGACTATGCATGCACGTCTTTCAGTGAAAATTATTTGACTCCAGATAATGTGGATATGTGACAGGGATTCTGCAGCATATCTGCCCTTCAAGATGTATGATCTGTTTGAAGTCCAAAAGCTGTTGCAGGATGAATAAATCTGATTTAATTATTGTTTGCATCTCTGTTGGTCCTGCCCTTGGCATTTTGATAGCTCTGCTCGTATGCTTCGGCGTAAGATGGTACAAGAAACATGCTCATCTTCGACGATGTGCGAATGAGCGTAGTATAACCACCCTTCCCATACGCATGAATGGATCAGACGCAAGCACTGACTTCAGTGCGTCATTGTCAATCTCAATAGCCAATGGGGCATCTGATAACCACCAGAAGAATTCTCCTTTTAACTGGCGGGGCCCCCAGAACAAAGAATGGCTTGCATCTGCATCAGGCATACCCCAATATTCTTACAAGTATGCAAACTGATTATCCTCAATAGCTCTAATATCCTCAGGATTTCCCTTCAACTACATATTCATTGAAATTTGAAATTTGAAATACGATTTCCGGATTTTTTCACTTCAAATCAAGCTCTTTTGAAGTTTATTTATTATGTGGCGAAAATATATAGATGATTTCTGTTTTGTCAAATAGAATGATCAATGTCCCATAAGTTAATGCTCTCTTTTCTTATTGTATGCATGTATGGCTACGTATTTAGTCTTTCTCAATGAATGATATTGTTGCTTCATAGCAATTCCCGCTTTGCGAAACAGGGGAGTATATCTCTCCCATGCTACATTTCAAGCCATGGACAATAGTTCAAATGATTGCAGGGTGATCGGATCTTTTCCACATGTATCATGTTCCCAAAAACTCTTCGTGAAATTTTATTATTTTCATTAGTAAAGTTGTGTGAGCCTTTGCACATCTGCAGGGACATACAAAAAGCTACACAAAACTTCACTACTGTCATAGGACAAGGTTCCTTTGGTCCTGTATATAAAGCTGTAATGGCAGCTGGGGGAATCCTAGCCGTCAAGGTGCTTGCCTCTGATTCAAAACAGGGTGAAAAGGAGTTTCAAACAGAGGTATGGGCTGAAGCAACATTAGGGTGAAGGAGCATATAATTGTTATAAATATAATAGACTACTTGTCTTTGGCCATTTTTTTCGTATAGTTGCCCTTAAGTTCTTTAATGTTTACTCCAATAAATAAGGATATTGCAAAATGTTTCTGAATAAATAAATGCATATGTGGGCAAATAGGTAGCTGGGTAATAGTCACAGGAGAATGTATGGCAAGGTTTGGAATGGTGGATCTTGTCAGAGTTTTTGGGGAATATTTTTGTGCTTCTATAAAATCGAGTCAATCACTGCAGGCGACTTTTTCATAGCGTCTTCTAAAAGAATATGCACTGAAGCATGCCAGGTAGTTTTTGACTTTGTTGATGCTATTGTAACTTACTCAACTGATGCAGCATGAATACACGAGTGAGCATGTGTGCACTGTGCTGAAATTGAGTTCTTAAATGAGGTGACCTTCTTAGATAATCCAGGACCAAGAGTAGTGAAAAGCAACTTCATATACCAATTACCAACCATGTGATTTCCTTACCATTGAATACATTTTGCCTTAGTATCTTTTATATTTCAAGTCTTTAGAACAAGCAACCTTTTCTTAATTGTGGATTTAGAGATTAATTTAACATGCTTTCTGAAATTGACAAGTATCATAGATAGCATTTGGAGCAAAATGTGTGCTAATGACACTGTCTCCTCTTTTGCAGGTGTCTCTGCTCGGTAGATTGCATCATAGGAACCTTGTAAATTTGGTGGGCTATTGCATTGATAAAGGGCAGCACATGTTGATTTATGAGTTCATGAGTAATGGAAGCTTGGCAAATCTTCTTTACAGTAAGTTCAAGGAAACCAACTGATCTGGAACACGCTACACCTTTACCATGTACATGTAAATTTCAGCCTTATGTGTGACTGATGTAAAGTTTCCTCAATCAGACCTTCCATTTTCATGATAGGTACAGGAGCTGGTTTCACTGTTTCGTCATTGACTGTTTCTCTTAATCTATTTTGGAGTCCCCGTTGATAAATCTCTTGTTGAAAGTTCAAAAAATTTGGTTATTGAAATAAACTTCAACAAATTTTTATGACCAATTGAACTGTTAGACTCAAAATTAGGATATGGGATTTCATTGTTGGTTCTGTTTAATTCTCCTCTTATGCTTATTCCTTATGTCAAATTTTCTGGCTTTGGTGGCTGCCTTCTTTCTACATCTGTAGCACATTGTGCTGTAAAATACAAGATATAGATAATGATGGCCAAGCAGAAAAGGTTGTAAAGTCCCAGCATCACTGTCACAAAAATTGGTTCACTCTATTTAAAGCAAGTGCCAAATGGCATCCACTTGCTTTGTTATACGCATTGGTCATCTTAGTATTAGTGGTTACGACTTATGACATTAACTGTCCATGTACATTTCTCATAACTGCTTGTTTCCTCAATTATGCAAGTGCACAGCCATATACTATTGTAGATGCTCAGACTGATATTTTTCCCCTTGTTACACGTTCAATGCTCCCTTTTGTACATGTAGTAGTGGATTTGCTAATAAGATTTTTCTGCTGCACAATGATCCAGATGAAAAGGAAAGGGTTTTGGATTGGGAAGAAAGGCTTCAAATTGCTCTAGACATATCGCATGGAATTGAATACCTTCATGAAGGGGTATGTTTGCTGACATTAGCTCTTCTTTTTTTGATAAATGGAGTATTCGGTTCTCTGATGAAAAAGTTTTGCGCAGGCAGTCCCACCTGTCATACATCGTGACCTAAAATCTGCAAACATATTGCTAGACCGATCCATGAGAGCTAAGGTAAGACACTTGTGCTCTTTTACATTCAATTTTTAATGTTTTTATCTCCTTTTTATGGTACATGATGTTGGACCTGTAAGCTGCCCTGCCCATTTTGTAGGTAGCTGATTTTGGTCTATCTAAGGAAGAGGTATTTGATGGACGAAATTCTGGCCTGAAAGGTACATATGGCTACATCGACCCAACATACATATCCACGAACAAATTCACAATGAAGAGTGACATATACAGCTTTGGTGTCATCATCTTCGAACTCGTTACAGCAATTCACCCCCACCAAAACTTGATGGAATATATCAATCTCGTGAGGGTTCTTCTAAACCTTCACAACCTTTTTTGTTTTGTCATCTGCACATCGATTCAAACTCATTGGTTGCATATTCTTTTTATAGGCTTCGATGAGTGCAGATGGTGTTGACGAAATACTCGATAAGCGACTGGTCGGAGAATGCAATCCCGACGAAGTGCGACGACTAGCTAGCATCGGTCACAGATGCCTGCACAAATTACCGAGAAAACGGCCTTCAATAGGGGAAGTTTCACAGGCTATATTGAAGATAAAGCAGAGGCGCCTCGTTAAAAACGATGAAGCGTCTTTTGCAATATCAGATATATCCAGAACTGTAAGCTTAATAGAGGACCGGCAGGTGGAGCTGAGTCAGATGGCCAGCATGAAGGAGAGAGATTGAACTATCGCTTCTTTGTTCTCCCCTCCTGGTTCATCACTTCTTTTCTTCCTTTGTTTCTTCGTTTCTCTTGTTTTTGTTTTTCTGTTCTTTTTTCCCTTTAATTTTCTGGTTTCTATTAGCATCCTCGTCTGGTCTTATTTTCAGCAAGCTTTGCCATAGCGTAGAGAAACAAGGATGTAGGTAGGTAGATGCCGATAAGCTTTTCTACACTAGATGAAGTTAATCAAAACCGAGCGGTGTAGATGACGATCCATGATGCTTAAGTGAGCTCAACAGTCTAGTTCTTGCAAGGCATATTGCATTTTGCTGTGTCTCGTGGTGGCCCAAGGCTCAAGAAACGGTTCCTCTTCTCCTCCCTGTGCTCGTCTAGTTCCTTGTCTTCTGAAATCAAAGTTTTGCCCCCACATAGTTGCCTTCACGCTCTTCGTTGTATGTTATGTGGCTGACGTGAATAAGGACCCACATTGAGCACAAATGGAGTGAATTGTAACTCTGATTCTGCGGTTTTTAAGATTGACCCTTTTGAAATTGGTGGGCTGGATACTGTCAACGCTTTGTTTGTAAACAAAGCTGCCTTAACCCCATCTAAGGAAGCATACACGAGCGAAAACTTTAATGAACCTGGAGAGTCGAGCGTCATCATCCTTGCTCAGCTTCAAGAGAAGTACAAGCATCACGCGTGGTAACTCCAAGAGGAGATGGTTTTGCCTTCATTGATTAAGCTTATGAAGATTATCCGGGTCAAAATTTTGTGGGAAAAATTACTGAAAAAGTGTTAAAACTATTGCAATTATATTAATTCAGTCCTTAATATTTTTTTTTTGTCAATTGAGTCATAAACTTTTTGCATTTGTGCCAATTCAATTTATTCGGCCAATTTTGGTCGGCTAGTGCTGACATGGATGCTAATCGTCCTACATGAAGTGGTCGGCATTAACATGGATAATTTTTAATAATATTTTAATATTTTTTCGAATTTATTATTTTTTCTTTTCTTTCTCTTTCTTTTTTTCCCTTCCTTCTTCCTCTGGCTAGTCGCTGGAGGCTCAACCTCGCCCAGATCTGGTGAGGCTTGCCCTGATCGTCGTTGGGCGAGGCAAGGTATTTGTTTTCCGGGGTTTGGTTGGTTGGTTGTTGGTTTCATGCATGTTGAGGGTTGCAATCGATTTGAAAATCACTCAATTTGATATGTTGTGTCGACAAGTTGGAGAGAATATGGCGGAAGAGCACCAGTGCCAAGCCCCGCGCCTCTGCACGAACAACTGATGCTTCACCCAGCGACGACGAGGTTCGAAGAAAAAAATGAGAAAGAAAATAATCGAAAATATATTAAAATATTATTTAAAATTGTTTATCTTAGTACGGGTTGGATCTACGTAGGACAACTAACGTTCACATCAACGCTAGTTGGGCAAAATTGGCCGGATGGACTTTACCAAATCAAATGAAAGTTGAAAACAGTTAAAATACATGGACTGCAACGTAACGATATATACATATTAAAGCTATAATTAAACAAAAGGCGTACTAAAACTGATACTTGGCTCTTTTCACCCTTACTTGTTTTTAAGTTATTTTTTGAATAATAATTTTCTAGTACAAAAACTGATACATGGCTCTTTTCACATAGCTTTGCACGTATCATATCATTGCATATTAGCCTTTTGATTCACAGTTTGCAGCAGCTCCTGTCTCGATGATCAATCATGAGGACTTGCTTGTGCTTGCTCATTGCAAACCAGGTTCTTCATTTTTCTCATAATTTATTTACTGTATTGATTATTAAGTATTATTTTCATGTTTACGCACCCACATGATCATTTTTCACGTGTTAGAGGTCCTGAATAATGAGATGATAAAGATTGCATGTAAAACACTTCCATTTAAAGAGAAAATGTACCAAAATAGCGTTAGAATAATTTAGCGCAACTTACATAACTGGTTTCTAATTGACTCATAAAATATTAGTGATGGCTCCAAGGTAAGTTTAATTATAAGTTTAATCAAGAATCTAAGTTGTGATCGGATGGGCTTTCAAGAACCCGTGTTAAGTGTGAGCGTCAGCTTCGTAAGAAATGTTAAAGTGTGAGCGTCAGCTTCGTAAGAAAGTCCGTCGTTCCCGCTTAGCAATTCGTCAGCTTTAAGGTCACCACAATTCTAATGTCAAAAGTGTCTGAAATTGCAGTCCACGGACCCAGTCAATCTAATCGATTGCCAGATCAAAACTCAATCACTTCCTAATCTCCCCCACTTGGATTCTCTGAGTTTGATCGATTAGCATTCTTCTATTTCAAACTGAAATGTTCCCCACCACATTCCAACATTATACATCAAAACATTGCCAGCCAAAACAAGTATCTGAAAATTCCACCTTATATATCCCATTATGAGACTCGAGAGAAGAAAACGAAAATGAACAAGAGGAAGGCAATAAATGGACAGAAGATTCACTTCGCAGCTAATTTCTCGGCAGTGGCCATGGTTCACGAACCCATTTTTGATCCTCCCCACTCCTCTCCTTCCAATTGGCCGTAGAAGAGAGGGAAGCAAACCTTCAAAAATATTGTGCTCATCAGACATCACTTGATAAGGATCGCTGCAGATTTTGTCAATGCCGAGGTTCCTCACCAGCAGCCGTTGCGAGGCGTAAGAAAAATCTGTGGAGAATAAGCAAGTCAGGAAAAAATGGTACATCCAACTACAAAACAATGCCTAGGACATCACAAAAGTTGTGACACAGAGCATGGACACGCAACTATACGTAAGGGAAACGAAAAGAACCCGCATTATGCTCATAAGAAATGTTTGATCAGTCCATCTAAACTTCGCTACTGGGTATTCACGATGCTAATCCGCCAAGTTTAATGGCAAGAAAACCGACTTTTCAACGTGACAAACAAAAAAGTCTACAACCCAGCATTTGGCTGAATCACCAAAATGATGAGATCCGATCGTTGCAGTTTGTTCTTGCAACGTATAAACAGTGGGCAAGCTATAAGTGCCCACACATTAGAATCCAGACATTGCTGTTGAGCCTGAGGATGTTAAGAAGGGTAAATTGCAGCACTGGACAAATAAGTAAAATATATTGAAACTCTGGTAAACTCCATTCTCATAACTGGATATATATACACACACATCACTAATTCCCTTCTACGTTCCACCCTTCCATTCTCAATTTATTTATGTAAACACATTGAACAGAAAGTGAAAGATGAAAAGAAAACAGATCCCCTCCCCATTACACAAGTATAATTAGATGCAGCGGCGACTCCAATCCTAAGTAGAAATGGTCCTGCAAGAGGATAGACCTGTAAAGCAAAGGTATTCATCTTTCCAGGTATGTTTGACAACTAACATTCTCCTTGAACATCAGCTATTGTACTGTTATTGTTCAATCTCCCTAAAATTGGCATGAAGTTCCAAGCCTCTGTCTCTGCATGTGACCAATACTCGCAGATCTACGACTAGCGAAAGCAGGAACTAGCAACTCCTGAAAATTTTCAAGGAACTGATCCCACTCTTCTTTATCCATATCAGCCAACTTCACAAAACTGCCACTTGCAGGTAGCTGCTCATTCACACTCCTGTTTCCAGATGATGTACCAGCCAAATAGCCAGTCCTCTGCCAGGTGCCCAGGTGCTGCCAGCTCTTCTCTCCATTGTGAACACATTTCACTGACTTGGACAACTTACAAATGCGTGGCTCTAGGTTTGTTGCGAGGTCAGTGTGCTTGTCTATCCTTGAAGCAGTGCTATCATTCCCATTCTCAGTCCCCTCTTCTTCTTCATTCTCCTCCGTGCTCTCCTCCAGCTTTGACAGTAGAATACGACCATTTCCACCTTTTCTGCCAGACCAAAAAGGTTTCATTTCCAAATTCTCTTCTATGTTAAACATGCATTTTAGTTCTTCTTCCTCACTATCGGCGTCAAACTGAAACTGGTTATCATCTTCTGGCTTAACCTCTTCAAAGGCTACTTCTCGCTTGTCTAAACGATGCCTTGCCTCAATGCAAAATAACTCAAGTTCACTTGGTTTCTCCTCATGGCCTCGAAACTCCCTACTCATCATCTCACCAATTTCTGCAAGACAAAATCCAAAAAACACTGCTGTCTTTAGGAAAATTGTGCAAATAACCAAGACACGATGGGAAGCCTCTCGGATCATTGGCAGCTCCATCCTAAGCATGTCAGAGTCCCTATCCGGGTCAAGATTATGTATATACTCAAGTTCATCCTCAGAGAAAGGGATTGATGCCTGTGGCCAATGTATCCACTCAAAGTATGGGTCCTCCAAGCTTTCTGGAAGACACAAACCATGATCAATGGGAATAAGCTCCACTTCAGCCAGGCTGCCAGTCCCTTTAAGCTTTCTAACCAAGAGGTTTCCAGCATGCCTGTCGGTGTTTAAAATTCGAACATCCAGTATTCCGATCCGATGAACTGCAGAAACAGGAAAGCTTGATGTTCCATGATCACTTGCATCAAAATCGTGAGGGATGAACTGCTGCAGTGAAGCAATCTTGCTGATCTGCTTCTTAATATGATACTTATTTATACTCACCCCATCATTTACATTAAAGATTGAGTGGGTAATCTTCACAAGCACCGTAAAGGGTACATTCGCAGAATGATCATGGTCAAGTAGGTAAGCTGCCACTTCTCTAAACCCCGTCTCGCCAACTCGTACTGACCGCTTCAATCCAGGTTGTCCAAGAGCTTTTCCCACAAAGCCCTTTGGGTTGTTAGGAGCATAAGGTTCCTCATCTGTTGGCTTCACAATAGCAACGTTATCTCCATCCGAGTTTCTAAGATAGTATGCACCGCCAAGACCACCACAAACAGGGATCGGATCAATACCATTCTTCATAGCCTTCACAATCTCCTTAATTAACTTTTTCTTTCCAGCAGAGCTATAAGAACATACTAATATCTCAATCGGACCACTCTGATCACTCCGTTGAAGGTCTTTCCCAGTTGGTGAGAGACATGGAGTGGAAGCGCTTCTGTGCAAAAAGTTCTTTGCAAGGAGCAGGGGAGAATCATTTCTAACAGCACTTAGATCATATCTCAACACCATATCTCCATAAAACAATGAACACTCTTCGGTTGGGACATCGAGAGCAAGCTGCAATCTCCTCTTTACTGTATGAGCATTGTCACTCCTGTCTAATTCTATGCCCATGACACAACCAGTTTCAGTTTGAACAAAAACACGCCTTCTAATAGAAGATTTCCTGTCCATCCTATGCGCACCAGACTCGCCTCTCAAAAGTCCTTTGAGGGCAGCAGCAGCCATTTGGTTATGTACAGATATGTCCAGATCAGGAAAAACAGAAGGAAGAGAAGTAAAGCATCATCCACTGGTGTCTGAGGTGGCAGCGGAAGAGAGCTGCTCTCTGAAACAGACAACCACCACAAATGCCAGCAACAAGTGAATCTGGGATACCTTTGTGTGTATGAAAATCATTTCAGCTTGGTAATAGGTTGAATCTGATCCGTTTATCTTACGTCTGATCAGAAATGCTGGGAAGTAAAGAGTTGATCAGAAAAAAAGGGTTACATTGGAGAAGCTGGTGGATATAGCTGGCTGAATAAGAAATATTAAGTGTCAAAAAGGATAGACGAGGAGAGAGATATGGTGAAGCAAATGCAAATCAAAACATTTATGTTGATGATAAAACTTTCTACTACAAGTCAAAGACAGTAAATGCTTTAAGTCTCGTCAACCTACCCAAAATCCAAGATCGACGCACTATTTAGGAGTCTACATTGCCAAAAAAACCATCCTGACATATTTTTATTGGAAATTAAGGGTTTGTTTGATCATGAAAATGTTTTCTTTTTCAATGAAAATGAAAGGAAAAATTCTACTTTTCGTCCTTGTACTTTCTTTACTTTTCTAATTAAGTCCTTGTACCTTCAATTTTCCTAATCAAATACTACTACTTACAAAAAATGTCTAATCAAGTCCCTCGAGCACAAATCTGGTCAAAGCCAACCAATGTGTCTGTCAGAGGATGCCGACGTGTGACGTGGATTAAATATTGCCGATGCACACACCCACTGTGAGGCATGGATGGTGGATGAATTTAATTTTGTTAATTTGTTTCTCTCCCACTCATCCTCTGTCCATGGTGAGAGTCCACGAAGGCCATGTTTTATCCACGTCAAACTCTAGCATCCTTCGACAGTCACGTTAGTTGGATTTGGCCAGATTTTATCCCAATGGACTTGATTAGATAAATTAAAATTGCCGAAACTTGATTTGAAAAAAAGTTAAAGTACATGGATGAAAATTGTAGAATTTATATACGATTTTATTTCATCTTCAGTTTTCTGAAAATATTTTTGGTACAAAAAGGTTGTCCAAAAGCACCAGGCTGGAGAGGGGTTGATGCATGCAACACCCCTGGTTTAGCTGTTTCTGTGACTTGAACCCTTGACCTAATGCCCTGATGAGCTACCTTTTACCACTACACCAACGCTCGCCCTCATGTTTGGTACACAGAAACGAATATTTTCATTTGTAAGTGAAAATTGCAAAAACATGTTTGGCACTCTCTAACAGCTAAAAATTATCCATTACAATTTTTAGGGGAAAAAGAAGAAAAGGCCTCATAAAATGACAATATAAGATATAATTACTTTATTAAACAAAATCAACTCCATTGACAACATTTGTTTTGGATTGTGTTCTTTTGCATTCCTCTTTCTTCTTTGTTATTTTTTCATTAAAGAAGGAATTTTCAAGGAAGCTTGGTTCCTTGCTTTAAGTATCTTTAGAAGGCTTTTGCGATTCCAGTAGCAAATCCATGTTTCATCTTTATTGCCCTAGTTGGAAACAGAAGTTTCGTTACTAACATGGCAATAGCGATTCCTCTTCTCACAAAATCATCGAGGTTCAAGCAGCTCATCTCTCCAGCAAACTGAAGGACCCTCCTCTCTCTCTCTCTCTCTCTCTCTCTCTCTCTCTCTCTCTCTCGTATGTGTCGATTTGTTTTGCTCTTTATGTTAATGTGTTCGTTTGTGCACCAGGGACTTGAGGTTTTAGATGAGTAATCATTAAGAGATCTCACTATCCAAGAAATTTTTCTTTGTTCCTGGCTTTCAGAAATGTGGAAGGCGCTGGAGAGGATACAAGGTTAGTGCAGAATGAAATTTTCATTTTGTAGTGAAAACTGACAAAAAGTGTTATCAATTCTCCAGCTAATAAATGAAAACACGAGGTGTTTTCAAAATCAACCAAATGTACTTTCATGGGGTGTTGTCATTCTCAAATCAGGATGGAAATAGAAATGTGGAATATACTCACATGACAAATAGCCCCTAAAACATCCGCTCCCCACCCCCAAAAGGAAAAGAGAGGAGAAAAAAGAGAGACACGGAAAGAAGAAAAACGAGAAAGAGATCTGGAGCATATTCAATCCATGTAGATTATAACATGCGTAGTAGCTATATGACCTATCCCATTGTAGAACTCCACAGAGCATAAAACCTAAGGTGACAGGAACACCTTCTTAGGTTGGCTTAATAAACCACATATCTTTCATCGCCCTCTTTGAAATTAAACTAGTTTCTCCAAAAGTGCCAAGTTAAGGCAGTCTTCACTAAAGTCTGTTTATCCAAATCTCAAAGTTCTTGGGAAACGTTCCAAGTTCCAAATAAGTAATACACTGCACCACGAGCATTTTCACTCTCATTGCGATAGAGGAAAACAGAAACAGGGCAAAAGCATTATAGGCAAATAGGCACAAACAACTGCATAAGGTTTAGCCCGAGAAGGAATCGAGTTTAATTCTATATGACCTTCGCATCACATCTCCAGTACATGCATAAAACATATAGTTTGTGCTCTTTTCTGACCGGTTGGAAAAGTCAGTTGCTCACTGTTTCACACCTTGATGTCCCTATACTTACGTCTCAGAATTGTATTAAAATCTAGAGAACCTCGACCCATCACCGCTCTCACACTCAGAAACAGGAATACCATTTCAGCGAGAAAAACGAAAAACAAGGCATGTCATGACCGGACAAAGCATACTACAACATTAGTGCCAAAAAAACGAAGAGACCTCAAAAACCCAATATCAGAATAAGAAAGAAAATGGAGACATCTAAGTACTAAGAGAGGCACAAGAGCGTTCACCTGACAGAGGATTCTTGCATTTGAATCAGCCTTCAACAGAGCTAGTGGGGAAGCAGGTCTCACTGCCAAATGACCAAAAACCCTTCATTGATCATCCATATCTCAGCTTCTCTTGACATTCATATTATCTGAAACCAGGCATTCAGCATTTTAGCCCAAAAAACAAGCCGTCTCCCAGACAAGACAAGACAGTGAAATGCAATAGCATGAGTCCACTACTCCGACGCTTAAATTACACAGCGAGGGAAACTGTTATGAAACTCAATGCTCACAAATTCCATTAATGGCTATCATTCAACTCCGAAAAGCCAAGAAACTGAAATTCCATCACTTAAACCCAACTAATGAGTTACGATCCACCATCAAGACACACACACACACACACGCAGAGGGATCAAATGCGAGCATTAAAGGGTCTTCAGAAGCACGAAGAAGGGACGAAATGCCGATGTTTACCACCGTCGAGCAGACACCCATCGTCGCCGACCGAGACGCAATCGCAATCACGCAACTTTCCGGTTCAGACATCGGATCGAATTCGAAGATCGGAACTCGCTACGCTAGCCCGGGTTCGGATTCTCCGGCGAATTCGGCGGCGCGTCGAGCCTACTCTCCGGAGGAGCGAAGGGCGGCGGAGGCCGGACGGCGGCGGCGCGATCGGCCGCCGGGAGCGGTGGACGGCCGAGATTCCTCGCCACGGTGGGAGATGAAGGGCTGAGATGCGACGAGGCTTCCCCCGGGGCGCGAAACCCTTTGGTCAGGTCGCCTGTCCCACTCGCTCCGAAGCTTCGGGAGGTTTTTCCTTTTTTAACTACCCGAAAAGGCGCAGGGATTTACCGCTGGGTCCCATGAGTTAAAAACTAACTATTATTTACCTAAAAAAGAATTAATAAACTCATTGCCCGGATAAATTTTTTTTACGTGTTCAACTTTAAATTGAGATAAAAAGCACCATAAAGTTATAAACACCAATATAGATGTATATTTATTCTAAACTTTTTTTGCAACACTAAAAATTTTAAATTTATACCTGTATAACACATTTACCCTCGGTCAATGAATACCATTAAAAATCTGCCTGTATAGATTACGGAAGGTATACGGTATTGATACGACGACCATTTGATTTAAGTGAAATAAAAAAAAAACTGCCGTTTTGGCTGAAAATCATCTTACGGAATTTGACAGAGGGTAAATATATCGCACGAAGAAAAAATTTAGGATTAGTATGTCACAGTTAGCAGTGTGCAAAATGGACTGCCCAAATCGGGAACCGACCGGATCGGATCGGACCGGACCGGACCGTACCGACTACATATACTTTTTAATTTTTTTTATTTCTTCAAAAAAAATTAATAAAATGTGAACTAAACCCTAAGTGAAGCATGTTTTGTGATTCGTCTTTTCAATTTGAGGATTACTACATACATATCACTTAATTCAACACGAAAAGATGGCAACAAATAGTAGGAAAAAAAAAGTGATCAGTTCCTGGTTCTAGGACCAACCGGTCTAGTCCCTGGTTCCGAATTTTAGAAACCGAACCGGACAGGGAACTGATCACCCCTAGTCACAGTTGGCATAGTTCGAGATTTTTGATATCACAAAATAAGTTCAAAGTAGGGGTGAGCATGGTTCTAAGGTAGAACCTGACTAGCAGGAACCTATATCTTCCAAGTTCCAAGGTATGCAGGGTAGGTTCTATGTTTTAAAAGTTGGGGAACCTATTTCGATGGATAAATTTCAGGTTTTAAGTATGTGGACCTGACTGGTGGAAGCCTGTAGGTTTCAGGTTCCAAGGTATGTAGGTTCCAAGTGAAAACCTATTTCGACGGGTAGGTTTCACGTTCCAGGTTCCACGTACCTAGAACCTAGAGCATAAAACCTTAAACAAGTTTTTTGTGTTTATTCTTGGTCTATATCTTCGCATGATCCTGCGGTGTTCCATGACGTTAAATGATGAGTGTATAATTTGAAACCATTAGTTTGAGCTTTCATTTTATAACTTGTTAATGTTTATATTCTTTTGTATATTTAAATATAAGTTATGGTCAGTAGATCGTAGCAGCAACTGGTGGTCATTAAAGGTATTGCAATTGTTCAATTAATAATATAGCTGGAACCTGGGTAGATCCTGGAACCTGTGATAGGGTAGGTTTCAGGTTTCAAAAAATGAGAAATCTATTCCATTAGTAGGTTCCAGATTTCATGTGAGCCTTGTACAGGACATGGAACCGCTCACCCCTAGTTCAGGTAAATATGTCATAGTGAACATATGGATTTTTTTTATGTTTTTTTCCCTTAAATTGGAAAATCTTACTTTTAAAAATAGTTGTGTAACCATATTTATCCACATGTTACTTATCCCTCGGTGAATTTGTGGAAGAAAATTTTTGTTGAGCAATAATAATCTTATAAGCATATTTAAACCTATATTTTTATTTCAAATCAATTACTACTTACTTTAGCTGGTGAAGGTTGCATTTTCTTCGAATTTGCCTCACAATTAATTTTATCGTATTTTATTTCGTAAATTTCCACCGTCTTCGTCAAAGGTGATCCCTAATTTGGGTGTTTTTTTTAAAATTGAATTTCAGTCATTTCTAGAACATGTGACATAGAAAAAAGAGGCACAATAATTGATGTAGATCTTGACATCTACCAAATTGGCAAATGATGGCTAAAAGTAAAAATTAGGTGGATCTAAGCCAATTAAAAAACAATTAGGTAGCTCTGTTGATGAATATAATTGAATATATGGCTTGGTTAGAAATGAAAGTTGGTGAGCGAAACCGGTTATAATTGCAAATTCAATTACACCTAATAAAATGAAATTCATCATGTTCTTTCTTGTAATTTCTTGACTTTAGCTGAGCCACCAGATTTTCAAGCCCATTATCTCAATCTTTCCAATTCGCTCCTTCGGAAGCGGAGGTCGAAAAAATTCACGATCAACCCTAATCATGGATTCACTTGATGTGATCGTGAATCCAGTGCCTGTGCATCATGGCAATGGACTATGTGCCCATGCCATGCATCGTGTCCTGGTATCGGGATTAGGTAATTTGCACGCCTACTGGGTTTCTTGGATGCGGTAATCGTTTTTTAGGCTCCATTTATGGAATCGAACCCTAATTTTCCATCATTCATCATCACCATAGTAGACTACTATTCTACCATCGAAAGTTGATAGGGTAGAAATTCAAATGATGTGTTGCCGGCCAGCACGATGGTTGTGCGATCTGTCAAGTCCGTTCTTATTCTCGTATACTATACACGTCTCGACCATAAGAGTCCTTAGCAATGTACAAAAGCAAGTGGAGTTTGAGTGTAGTATTAAATCACGCCATGACGAATCTGAAGCTCTATCATAAGTCGATTACGCCTACAAAACTACTTAGTACAAATCACGTGCCTGCGTATATAGATTTCTATTTAAGTACCAGTACTTGACCTTTCTCTTGTATTTTTTCAGAGATCGATGATAATTGATTACTATTATCCTCTATAAGTTGGCAAAGGTGTGTTTTGAATGATTAAATTTTTTGCAAATCTGTCGGTCTCCATTTGATTTATCAGAGATTGATTAAATATGTATTGTACTTTTAGTTTCGAGTAAAAAGTAAAGAAAAAAATGATTTATTTTGTTAAGCAATAAAAAAAGGGCAAATACCACGAAAAACTCCAAACTGGTACACTTGTGACACATTTACTATAAACTAATTTTTTTATCACAAAAAACCCCAAATTAGTACACTTGTGACAAAATTACCCCAAACTAATTTTTTGACCACCAAAAACTCTAAACCGGTACACTTGTGACAAATTTAACCTTTGTTAAATTGGATTAAGATCACGAAAAATCACAAATTGATAAACATGTGAATAACGGAGGGATAAAACCCAAAACTGTTGTACCCATCAACGGCCACGTATCATCTAACTCAGCAATTTGACGGTAAAATTTAACGGAAACTAATGGAGGGTAAATTTGTTACAAGTGTACCAGTTTAGGGTTTTTTGTGGTCAAAAAATTGGTTTGGGGGTAAATTTGTCATAGGTGTACAAATTTGAGATTTTTCATGATATTAACCCTAAAAAAATGGATGCTTAGTTTTTTTTTATTTTTATAAATAAAGATCATGTTCATAATCGAACAAGTACACAAAATGGGGTCCAAGGACAAAGCCGAAGGCCATGAAGGCCCAAACCATAAAGCAAGAAAAACTAGGGCCTGAAGGTTAATTATATCTATTATGAGATTGTAATTTACAAATCGAGAATGTAGTTTTCATGGAATTTATCGTTATTTTATTTAAATTTACCATAAGGTTATTATATCCATTATGGGTCGTAATTCATTTATAGTCGTCATTTTCACTTATAAGTAGTAATTGACATTTAGGAAAGATTCCAAATAAGAATTCAAAGTGAGGCTATTTTCTCAAACAAGGATTCAAAGTGAATATTTTTTTAAATAAGAATATGAAGTGGCTAAACCAATTTCAAATAAGGATCTGAACTGGCAGGCTAGCCAAATGTTCATCGACCGGCAAGCGTGTGACATTTTCGGTGGCTAGAATATGGGCAATTTTGTCCAAAAAATATAGATAAAAACTAACAAACCCTAAAACAAAAAACCCCCCAAATTCTTCACGTTCTTCTTCTTCTTCTTCTTCTACGTTCTTCTACCTTGACACTTGTAGCACCCAAATTCTTTGTTAATGGAGCACGAACTGAAAAACAAGAAACCCTACCTTCGTTTTTTCAAATCTTATTCCTTTCTTTTCTGTCTTTGTTTCTTTCCAAAGAAGAAAACATAGCTCGTGCAAAGCCACCTCTTCATTATTCAGACACTCGTATGTAATATGAGGGAATCGATTCTTCATCATCTTTCCTAGGTTCGTCATATACTTCGATCTACACTCACATTCAACTGAGGTCAGTTTTGTTCAAATTTGTGCAACCGATCCTTCGTTTGCCCAAGAGAAAGCAATTGTAGCTTGTTGAAGCAACATGTTGATAAGGTGTGGGCATGTGGTGGAATATCACATCGATGGCAGTGAAGACAGTGATGGCGGGAATATTTTTGTTTTGTAGTATTTTTTTTTTGCCATTGTGGTCCTACATGTTGTGGTGGGGTTCCCTGTTTTGCAATTTTTAATGCTCTCCTTTCGTTTTTTCTTGGTGTATATTTTGTCGCTAATGGCAAGAGCTTGTGCCATGTCCTCAAATT